CTCTCGGCTAGGCCCGAGGATCCCCACATCCCTCCTCGCCAAACCACACAGCCCTCAAGCCAGCTGTACAGATAGGAGGAGGAGGAGGCGACAAGCAGCTTTCTTAAATACACACACACTTTCCCACCCCCCACCCTCCCGGTACCTCAGCTGAGTGACAGCCTCTTGATGTTGCGTGCGAGTGAGTTCAGCTGGTGCTGTGTGGTCTGGGTGTGTGGTCTCCAGCTTGGCCGAGAGGCTGCTAACAGGGTGGATGAGAGAGAGCAACTCTGTTTACTTTAATTTATTTCGGATGCCGGAACTGTGCCCAGAGTTTCTCCTGAGCTTGATTCCACAGTTAGTGGCAGCAATCCCTCACAGCTGCGGCGCAGTCTGAAATATGTGCTGAACTCCTCGACCAAGTGCCTTTGCAGCATCTGCTTCAAGTCCAGCCTGCTAATCCCCTGTGACTCAGAAATGTTAATGGCATTGCTGAGTGCTGTGATTATTTTGGTTTTACTATGTCAAGATAGGATCTCCCTCTCTCTCTTTCTTTCTCCCTCTGAATCCTGGAAGATGTACTTTTTGTGGGTTATTTCATGCAGGAATTTAAAGATATTGGTAATATGTACTGTAGCTATGAAGTCTGATACAGCAGGTCTTTTTAAAGATGTGTGTGTGTGTGTGTGTTTAGCTATGACATACAAAATTGTAATCTAGATTCCAGATCTATTTGGGTCAGGCAATGAACCTCAAGTTGTGCAATCTCATATTCATATTTTGACCCTTTCCCATTAATTTACATTTTATTTTGCTCACTGCTTTAGAATTGGCGAAATGCCAGAAATCTGCTTTTATTTTCTTATTTATTGTATGTATTGATATTATACCATAAACTGCTTCAAATACATGTTTATTGGGATAGTAAAGCACATTAGGAATGCTAAAATAAAGCTGCAACCCTATATACTTGCTTACCTGGAAATATGTTCAATGGGACTTACTTCTGAGTAGAGACATAGAGGATTGTACTGAAAAACAAAACAAAAAAACCCTATTCAAAATTGACTTGTCATTTGCTAATATTTGCTTGACGTGAACGCTGGTTACGACAAGATAAGGCAAATTAACCTTTAGTTATTTAGACTGTTTCTTTATATGTGCTTATCTTTTCATTTTAAGTAGCTTAGAGATATTTGAGAAAAAAGATTTTGAACCAAATGTAACATTCATGACCAATACTTGTTTAAAATGACAAGTCTCCTTTCATTATTCAAATAAACATGCATTCACTCTTAATATGACTTGGAATTCCAGCATTGTTTAGCTTATTCATTCCTAGTCTTTTCTGGCAGACTTGCAGGAATGAACTTAGTATTATTGATGCAGCGTTGAAGGCTGTAATATTCATAGCAGGGGTGAAGGCTCTTGCAAATCTGTGGGCTAAAGCTCTCCAAAGGGATTAAGGAATATCACCAACATTTTTTAAAAAAATGTATTGAGGTGGAGGGGGGAGTGCCTTACTGTTTTAACTTGTGTCTACTATATTTCTGCATTTATGTTGAATTCTAATTTTCCTTAATTTGTTTTTGTATTATCTGCAGTGATCTCAGATCACAGCTTGGAAGAAGTGAAATGGTTCACCGTTTCAGTCCCTGCCTGCAGGTTACAATGCAAGTGAGATGACACACAGGGGTGGGGGGAAGAGGAGAGAAAAAATGTAAACAGTCATCAAATCTTAATTTACCAAAGTTAAATAGAAGTTCTTGGGGGAAGGGTCATAGCTCAGTGGTCAGTGTAGACAATATTGAACTAGATGGGCAGATCATCTTCAGTCAGTCTAAAGCAGCTTGCTTTGTTCTTATAATGACCAGTTGGAATGGATGTCGTGTTGTTCAGCAAACCAGTTACATAAGAAGTAAAACAATAATAATGCCATATAGGCGTTACACTTTTAAAACATGAGACAGCAGAGTGACTGTATTTTTTAAGACAATGCTTTCTAAGACTCACTCATTCAGAATACTTTTATCCTTATGTGGTTCTTAAAGCAGCTTACAAAATATTTGCACAATTCAATCACGTTCAAAAACTTTTTGACCCATACTCAGAAATAACATTTATTAGCAGTGTTTATACACGTTTATGTTTAAGAAGACCCCAAAGTGCTTTCCATATCACTACAATATCAACAGAAGACAGAATACATTTAAGACCTCCGTAATGACCAAAATGCGATTTCATACATTTAACAACTAAAAAAAATACCAAGAAAGAAAGAATTTAAATTCAGACCCAAACATTTCTCACTCATTCTTGGTCCTCCCTGGTGTTGCCAGTGGGACAGGAGGCCCACTGAGTTTCTTTGAAATTAGTTGAGTATCACAGCCTTGGAGTAAAACTCCCCCTCTTCAGCAGATGAGTTCAAGGATGTGGGGTCGAAGGAGAAATTGCAGACAGAAGCACTGCCACAAGACTATACCTTGGTGCCAGTACCCCACCAGCCTAAGGATGTTGTATTGCCATCCTCTGACTCAGAGGACTCTATCGCAGAAGCCGCAGTACAACCAGTCTTCTTTACTTGCAACAGGGACAAAACTGCTGCTCCTACATGGGGATTGCTCTAAGGCTGACTGGTGCTGAAGCAACACCCAAGCACTGTTCTCCTGTCACACTGAGGATGAACGCTGCACAAATCAGCTTTGCTTTGTTGCTGTGGAAGTCAGCACTTGCAGCAAGACACTGAGCAGTTGAACTTTGCTCAGTCCACGGTGAAGACAGTCTTTCTTTACTGGTTCCCATGGATGGCCTCTAAAACCAGGGAGAGGGGCTAAGCAGTCAGAAATTGCTCAGCCTGTGATGGAGTCAATTCTCCCCTCATGCATAAGGTAAAGGGACCCCTGACCTTATGTCCAGTCGTGACCGACTCTGGGGTTGCAGCGCTCATCTCGCTTTATTGGCTGAGGGAGCCGGCGTACAGCTTCCAGGTCATGTGGCCAGCATAACTAAGCCGCTTCTGGCGAACCAGAGCAGCACACGGAAATGCCGTTTACCTTCCTGCCAGAGCGGTAACTATTTATCTACTTGCACTTTCATGCGCTTTCGAACTTCTAAGTTGGCAGGAGCAGGGACCGAGCGACGGGATCTCACCCTGTCGCGGGGATTCGAACTGCCAACCTTCTGATCGACAAGTCCTAGGCTCTGTGGTTTAACCCACAGCGCCACCCGAGTCCCAACATCTTCTTAAAAACAATACTTTTTTGTAGATGTACTGCTTTCTCATATGCAAATTTAATCAATTGATAAATATATTAAGCACTCAACGATGTAATTATTGTGTAACAGTCCTAATGTAAACACAATGTTTTCATTGCCCAAGCTTTGCTTCTTTTAAATTTACTTATTTTGCTAATAATGGACACTGGTCAAACTCAAAGCACTATAATGCTCTTGAGTCTTTTCTTCATGCTCACCATTCCAGTGCAGTTTTTTTTTAAAGTGTTCTGCAATAAGCACGGAAATACCTGAGTAAAAATATTAGATTTTGGGAGGCTCAGCATTTTTATTACATGAATTCATACTGTAATGGAAAGAGGTAGAGTGTGCCAGCTTCTGAAATCCAATAAAGCGTGCTGCAATATTTTCTAATATTACTGTCTAGTATGGTCTTAATTCCAGTGCATCACCTGAATGCCTTGGCATTATAGACTAAGGGGAAAGTGGAACTGGGAGGGAAAGAAAAAATATGGAGAAAATAAATCTTCAGCATATAATTTCCTTCATATTAATATTGTTTTTAAAAAAACACACATAATAGTTTGGGCCTTTATTTTTGACCCTAGGATTATTGTTCTCCCAACATGTCTTATTATGCATAAGGATGTCTTTTACTCGGGTAATTCAGTGAATTTATGCTCCTTGCACAGTATTCATGTCCTTACACTTTGGCCTGTTGCCAGAGTTTCAAACTTTCAATAGGTTAGAAAGTTGCAATCTCCACACACACACACACACCCCACTGAAAGTATCAGTTCAACAACATTAGTTTATTTATTTTTTGGATCAGTTTTAACATCCCACCTGTGTGTAAACGCTCTGAGTCTGGACTATAGTTCCAGGAAGCTCCTTGCACATTGCTGGGTGTTCTAAATAAATATTAACCAGTAGGGAAACAAGCCACGCTGAGCAAATTCGATGGGGTCATGTTGTACTGACTTCTGTTTCAGTGTATCTGAAGAAGCGTGCATGCACACGAAAGCTCATACCAATAACAAACTTCGTTGGTCTCTAAGGTACTACCGGAAGGAATTTATTTTTTTTTAAATTTTGTTTCGACTACGGCAGACCAACACGGCTACCTACCTGTAACTTTCACTGATAGAGGAATTCTATCCCTGCACACCACCCCGCCCCTAAATTGCAGCAATCTAGGAAGAAGGTTGGCAACTCTGCAGGTCACCAGGGTTTTGCAAATTGCAGCACTTGCCGCCCTCCTAGCTTCAACGACGTGTCTGCTCGCCTTGTCTGGAACAACCACAACCACATTGCACAGTGAACTTTCCGTCCAGAGCCTTTCGTGTAGGGAGCACTGCAAATAGCGCGCATGCATGTCTCCGGGCGCGGGGAGGAAGTTATTTGCCTTGGCAAGCTGAGATAAAACACGCTAACAGTGAAATAACATATTGGAATCTGGGGTAGCATACCTGAACCAACAGCATAAGAATAAATGTTTTCTGAATGCTTTGCTACTGAACGAATAATTTAAAAAAAGGAAATGTATCATCCTGCCACAAGGTAGATGAAGGAGCAGCAACAACTCAATTTGCACGGACCCAAAGCGCGCGCTCGACCCTGGCGAGGGACATGGAAAAGGAGCGAGGAGGAGGAGGGGCGGTGCAAAGAACTCTGCCGCTCCCTCCTCTCGCGAGCCATTGGCTGCGGACGGTTGAGTGGCAGCGCCGGCTTAGCCAGCCAGCCGGCGCTCGCCCCGGTCACGTCACGTGCGTCGGCCTCCGCTCCGATGCGTCACGTGCGTGGCGGCGTCAAAGCCCCCCTGCGTAGCGCTCCTTCCGCCCCTTTTCCGCCAGCTGCGCTTCCGGCGGGAGGTAGGTCTCTGCTTGAGTGGCGTTTTAGGGAGCGGGGCGGCGGCGGCGGCGGTTGCAGGCTTCCTGCCTCAGGTGGCGTTTGACGGTTGGGAGAGGGTCCTTCTCCGCCACCTCCGTTTCCAGCTCAGCTGAGGGCGCTGAGGGAAAGCCCGGCTGACGGGTTGGGTGGGGCTTTTATTTTTATATTATTTTATTTTGCCAAGGAAGAGAGTGGGGGAAGGGAGTTAACTGGGAGGGGTTTGTTGTTTGTATTATGCGTTTTCTGTTTTTATCTTGTGTTTTTATGCTATGAACTGCCCTGAGATCTTCAGATGAAGAGCGGTATGCATATATATATATATATATACACACACACACACACACACACACACACACAAATACACACATATGTATATATAATACAAGCACACACACATATGAAAAAATAACACAAACATACAACAATAATAATATGAATAATCTGAAATAATTATTCGTATTATGAAATAATAATATAAGTACAGTCATACCTCGGGTTGAATATGCTTCATGTTGAGCGCATTCAAGTTGCGCTCCGCGGCAACCCGGAAGTAACGAAAGCAATGTGCGCATGCGCAGGCGTGCCGTCACTAGTTACATTTGCTTCTGGATGTGAACGGGGCTCCGGAACGGATCCCGTTCGCATCCTAAGGTACCACTGTACAAACACCACACATGCATACCCACTGGCCGGCTCGTGGGTGAGCCGTGGGATGCCACCGTGCGCTTTGGGCTTTCTGGGCCACCAGGCTCTGTCATGGGTCATGGCCAGCCTAGTGTCACAACTCAGACAGCGCGCATGAAACATGCTCTGGTTCAGCATCCTTGTACAGTTGTACCTTGGAAGCCAAACAGAATCCATTCTGGAAGTCCATTCAACTTCCAAAACATTCGGGAACCAAGGTGTGGCTTTCAGTTATCTACAGGAAGCTCCTGCAGCCAATCGGAAACCGTGTCAGACGTTCGGGTTCCAAAGAACGTTCGTAAACCGGAACAATCTCTTCCAGGTTTGCAGCGTTTGGGAGCCAAAACGTTCGTCTTACAAGGCGTTCAACTTCCAAGGTACGGCTGTACTTGATCCATCACTTGCAATGCCTAATCCTAACCTTGCTTTACTCGAAAGTACCATTTCGCCATGCTCAGCGAGGTTTTACCCTGGAGTAAGCTAGTGAAGGATTTGAGCCTTGAATCAGTTTATTGTTGCCGCCATTGCTTTGAGCATGGAGGTCATGCCCATGGGTCGCTCCTTTCACCTTTTCAAGCCAATGTCTGGCCGTTCAGTTTGCCTAGTGCAGAAGGCTTGGGTGATTTGCAGTAGATCTGCAAAATTTCTGATTCCAAACTTAAGTTAAAAATAGCAGGAATGAAATAATGCCCCCCATGCCCTAAGTTATACTACAGAATTAAATAAATTTAGTACTCAAATTGATTTAATTGCAAGTGCAAGTCTTTTGAACCAGGCTCTTTTTAGTGTGTGTATCTGTCTTTCTGGTAAAAGACCCCAAGCCCAGTACATAAGATGGACCACCGCTGCTATGCCACCCTCCAGGCGGTGATGGTGTTGCCACTTGCTGGATGCAGTGACAAGGGCAGGGGAAGCATTGGGTTGGCTGGCGCAGGCATTGATACATGCATGCTTTCACCTGTGACTACCATTCCACTTCCTGCATACTTTGCTGCCGTACTCCCAAGTAAGAGTGGCACTGCCACATGCAGAACAATGGTGCAGTTGTAGTGCCCCATCTCGCACACTGCAATAGTGCACACCTGAAGTCTGCCCAACCCAGGTATATCCTGTAGAAAGAAGGGCACTGTGGCAGGTAATTTCATGCTTCCTTTTGAGGTGAATCATTTTGGCTCTTGGTTCCTTTCAGATATCTCTGACAACAAACTGAATGCCCAATACGGTAATGTTCCCCTAAAAGTAGTTTCATTGGAGTTGCTGACACAAGTAAATAGAACTTTAATTCCTAATTCTCATCATGGGTGTGGATCTAAATGTCCAACTGGTATAGCAGGAATCAGGGCGTTCATGTACAGGCCACCCACATGGAGCTAGTAGTTCACACAGACAGTGTTGGCTGGGAGCCTGGCAGTGATCCTAGAACTCCCAGGGTTTTCAGATGGGTGCCCCCATGCATCTGATCCAGCCCTAATTCGAAAGTTGAGAAATTTCATCTTGATATTCCTTAGGAACCATCAGCACTTAAGAATTAAACACACCTTAGCAAGCCATTTTAAATCACACAATTGAGTCTTTCTAGGTTTTATCGTAATTGGTGCAATGTAAACATTTCACTTTTTTTCCTGATTTAGACTGCTGAATATATCAGTCTTTCATCAAAGAAGAAAGCTATAATGTCTCACGCTCGCAAGCCCCCTCTTGTGACGGGCATTTCTCCCAATGAAGGCATCTCATGGACAAAGGTCACAATTCGAGGAGAGAACTTGGGAATGGGCCCAACAGATCTAATAGGTAAAGTCAAGAAAGCTGTTTCCATTTTGATGGCAGTAGTATGCATCCAGCAGAGTTTATTTGGAAATGTGCAGTTGCTGATAATTTATGGTAGTGGTATTATGAAAACACTTGATAGACAATAAAAAGTTGTTGGTTTTTCTTCATGAAGTTGAAGAGATCCTTTCCTAAATACCGGGGGAGGAATTCAGTGTTGTGCTAAAACAAACGTTCAGTTAGCTTGAGTATTTCCGCTTGCGTGACAGAACAACCCCTCTCAACCCATGCACTGTTCTGGGGGTTCGCCCGACACCTCTGGAGCCAATTTGAGGGGTGGGGAAGAGGGGGGAGCCCTGTTGCAGAACTGCTTAGTTGAGTGCAGCCCAGGGGAAGTGTTGTTGCGGTATTTCTTCCTGAGCTTCCTTTTTCTCAGATCATGTTGAAATGATGGGTCAGTAGGGATGCAGTGAAAGGTTTTCTGCCAGGGGAAATTTAATTTGCCCCTTCAAGTGTCTCATGCCCCCAGTTTTTAGAATCACTACAGTAACATGCCACTTGTTCTCTTTGAGCAAGCTTGCTGTGTTGTATCTGTATCGTCACTTTCACCCGGTAGTCAAGACTGAGTATTTCAGTACTGGCTACTAATGTTTATGTATTTAGAGCAACACTTTAAAAAAAATTCTGGAGTGAATCCATAAGACACTTGAGATGCATTTGTGGGCTGTAAGCACTTCAGGTTCCCCCGATAATGATGAAATAAAAAATATTCACTGTTAAGCAACATTTGTTCCTCTGCTTTGTGTGACTCTCTCAGGCTTGACAATCTGTGGACACAACTGTCTTCTGACTGCTGAATGGATGTCTGCCAGCAAAATTGTGTGTCGAGTAGGTCAAGCTAAGAATGACAAAGGGGACATTATCGTCACTACAAAGTCAGGGGGCAAAGGAACTTCTACTGTTTCTTTTAAACTCCTGAAACCTGATAAAATAGGTATGGTTGTATTATCCACTTATTTCTCTTCCTGTAAGTATTGTTCTGTAATAAAAAAGTTTTGTAAAAAAAATCTTCACGGGATGTGCAAGTGGGTTTCTTGAACAAATCGTAAGACTGTATTTATACAGATTTATACTATTGGCCCATCTAGTCCAGTTCTGTCAACTCTGACTGGCAACAGTTCCCCAGCCTGTCTCAGGCATAGGTTTTATCCATGCCTGCTCCTTGAAGTTGGTATTGAACCTAGGGCCATGTAGAGTATTTATTCTGACCTTGAACGTCAGCTGTTCTATGTAAAATCTTATGAATTCAAAATACTTGAGCTTCTCTTGGTTGCTGATCAGTTTTTAAATTAGGCTATTCTCATACTAGCACCTCAAGCTCATGTATAGCGGTATGTTCTGTTGTATCCAATGGGCATTCCACTGAGTTTCTAATAAAACTGCTTTGATTATATGATTATATACATGATATACCGGCACTTGGTAGCATAAAATATATTTGAATCTTTCTGATGCTATTTGGGCACGTGTGCATTTTAAAGCAGGATGGAATGTAGAGCCAAAATTAAATGTTTTTTTTGTTGTTGTTGTTGTTTTGCCAGTTGAAGTTTTCCCTTTGCAGCATAGATACAGGAAAGCAAACAACAACTACAACCCACCATATTTTGTGTCGTAGGTGAGAAATCCAAATAAAATCCTCTGAGAACCATATTGCTCTGTAACTCTTTGGCTGCAGAGGCAGATTAGGAGCAGTGTTTTGAGGTTGCTTTTACCCTATTTTCCCCCAGACAGTTATCTAAGTATGCATTTTATACTTGTAGGACTTTTTGACTTAGTGCATGAGAACTTCATGATGCTCGACAGAGCTTGTTTTTCTAAGGATATCTCTTTTGTTTTCTCAAGGTATCTTGGATCAGTCTGCAGTCTGGGTTGATGAAATTAACTATTACGACATGCGCACTGACAGGAACAAAGGGATGCCCCCTTTGTCTCTGCGCCCAGCTAATCCTCTTGGTATTGAGATAGACAAGTGAGTACCAAGTAGTGTCAATTTACATTCTTACCTGACTTCCCTGTAAGAATTCAAAAATATTTCAGAATGTGAGATTTGAAGAAAGCAAGACTATAGTCTGATTTCACTTTGCCATGGAAAGATAGTGTTTCTTCAGTTTCTTATTCTGGAAATGGGAAGAATAATTATATTTCTATCTGAGGTTATGCCCTATCAACTCAAGAATTTCTGCATGTGCAACAGGTCTTTCCCCCCTGCATGTGTGCCAGTCCCTCCCCAAATCTATTCTTGACAGTTAAGCGGAATCCCCCAGAACAGATCAAGTTTTAGCCAACTACCCAGAGTAGGCTCATTGAAATTAATTGAACTGTTACTCATGTTCATTAATTTCAGTGTGTGAACTCTTGAGTGGGGCTGACATTGGATACAACCCTTAGTTTTCATAACATATTGAATATTACTGTTGTTCATATTTTTGTTTATGAAAATATTTCCACACCACTTTTTATTTACAGAGAGGTGGTTCACAGTAATAAAACATAACAAATCTAGTTAAGACTTCATACAGTGTGAACAATTTTAATAGCTGTGGGGGATGACAAGATGAGGTGGCAAATGACCTGAGATTAGCTGTTAAAAGCACTAGCTAGTTTTATGTGATTCTGTTTAGATTGGGATTTGCAGGAGGAGTTGCAGAGTAAAAAGATATTTTCCATCCATCTGCCTTTTTTCTTTTAGTTTTTATTGAAATACTAATTTGTTTCCTAACCACAAATCTTAGTGTTTTTATACACAAATGCCACATTTATGCAAAGGTTCCAGTAGTTGCATTCATATAAAAAACAGTTTATATATATTTAAAACACTTGCTGTCATAGCAAGTTAAGTGCTGCAATTCTACTCTAATATTGCAGATGAACATACCATGAAGAAGTAGATGCAGATAGCTGGGCACTGGGCCAGCAGCCCTGAGGTTCCTGTCTGGTGTACTGTCCTGTCTACTTCTGCAGTCCTAGTGGTGAAGGAACCAGCCAGGAATGAGAACAATGGGTATAGAGATCTCTGGCCATGTGGTAGACATGACTGTGTTCAGGAGCTCCTTAGGGTCAGTGGTGGTACAGGGGTTTGCTGATGGCTCCTTGTCCTCCTCTTTCATTGAGGAGACAACCAGCTCCAGGTCTGAGCAAGGCTGAACCTCGATACTTGCACAGTAGACGGAGAAGGGACAGGCTTTCAGACAAACCAGCACAGCAAATAGTGCTCATCTTTTTTAAAAACAAAAAAAACAAAAAACTAACTTTAGGGATATTGACATACAACATACAACAACATAGTAGTTTTGGCTAGCATGTGACCTCAATGCTACAATAGCAATTTTAACAAAAATCTTTCTAATCTGGGTATAGTGTTTCTGCTAAATGTAGCAGACAGTAGTTACTATGTATTGTAGGTTCAATCCCGTATAAATTAGGTTACTTTATTTAATTTCCAAGAGGACTATATGTGTAGCAGTGCAAATGTCTACAGCAGTGGAGAACCAATTCTAGCAGGAAAGCCATTCTTCCATAATGGCTAATGCTTGGCTCCTAAAAAAATTAACTTAAGGAAGTTAACACAAGGAAAGCTTCCTGTTCTCCTAACACCCACTATCGAACAAGGTCACTCAGGTTTCAGAAACCTGAAAACCCAGACCACAATAAACTTATTTGCATTTAAAGTGTCATAGGACTGTGTTTTTTTGAGCAATACAGTTACTCTGTGCTGATAAAACTGATTTGTAGCATATTTCTTTTCTGAGATGAATACACATTCCCTAAAATATGACAGTAATGAGCAATCCTACATATACTTCATCTGCCTAGGACAGGCTAGGAATAATAGTACAAAGCCTGTGTGTGCTTTGTGTTCAGTTACTATGTCATTCCTAGGCATTTCTCGAAATATTTGCAGTAGCACTACATGTCGTTTTATTAGTAAATTTAAAAATGGTTTCCATCTGCAAAGTCTAGCTTGCTGAGCATACACTGCCACCTAATGGAGTATGTGAATCCTCTTTTGTGTAGGCAAAGTTGACAATTTTATCAGAGGTAGTTTATTTTTTTGTTTATATGTAAATACAAGAAGGCTGTCATTCAGCAGCTCAGCTGGGAAGCTAGCTGCAGGCTCAGTTAAATATTTTGATTGTCAGCATCAGAAGTCAAAATCTTACAAGGAAAGAAAACTCTTCATAGCAATCTAGGCAAGGTGATGCCTTCATAGGCCTAATTTGGCCAGTGTTAAAACATTTCCAATGATTTAATTGTGCTCTTGGCTCTTCAGTTGAATGGAATAAAAGTGCTCAGCTTTGATCATATTTTGCCCTGTATTCGCCATCAGTTGAAGGTCCTTCTGTTGTCTCCCACAGTCTTATATGGATGCAGTCAGCAATAGTGAAGTGAGGTTCTGCCACATCAGTGTTGCCCTTAGGCTGGGTCCAGATTTGCCATTAGCTGTCCTTTGGACTGTTTCCAAAGGCCATCCTTGTCCTCTGTCCTACCATTGGAGAAAGTCCTTGTTAACACCTTTGGGTTTGTCCTGTTTAGTCTACTCCAGCGTCCTTTCTGCTGGTCTTCTGCATGCATGAGTAACAGAATACAGCTGGTACAAACGTTTGCTCCTATGAGTCTGGCGGGGGGGAATGTGAATGGTTACTTAGTTTGTTTATGGTGGTTGCCATTCAGTCTTTATTTACTTAAAATGGCTCTTCTTGACCTATAAAATCCTATGGAATCCAGTTCACGGGACTTTTCACTGACAGTGTCCAGTAGAACTGCCTGGTTTTAGTTTTTAAATAGATTTTACATGGCTTTGTGCACAGAATCATTACCCCTGGGTGGTTGATAACTTTTTAAAAGCTTTATTTGTGAGGCACAGATTTACATTTCTTCTTATATAAACCTGTCAGATCCCTCCATATAACTAAATTCTCTCAAGGGACGCAATAGTGTTAAACTGTTTCCTCTGAAGCATTTGCTTAAATGGAGTATTCTCGCACCCAGTTTCCAAACTAGCATCAGAAATTGTAGCCTGGCAGCCCCTGGAGGGCCAGAGGTTCCCAACCCATGACTCAGGGAGAAGGAAAAATTGCATTCCTTTTCTGTCTTCCCATCCAACCTCAAGAGCCCTGCTCATCCTTAGGGGGAAGTAAGTAACCCAGGCTACCACCTACTTTATCCTTTCCTCAAGAGGCAGCCTCTGTCTTCAAACCTCTCCTCTTCTTACCCCATTTCCACAATTACTTCTGAGGCTTATGAGACATCAGGAGGAGTCTGAAGGCTTTCCGAGTCTTGCCAGCCCCACCCCTGCATTTTGGCATCCCATCCTAGCCAATTACTGGTCAGACTACTGAAAGGCAAGTCCAGCAGTTCCTTCTCCACAGTTAGTTTTAGATGAGCCAAGCAGAGGCATCCAGGAAGAATAGCAATGACAGGTATAAAAAGAGAAGAGAGATTAGAAGAATAAAAGAAGCACTGCAGATTATCAACATACTGATAATGAATTTAAAAGAGGAAATCATCGTGACAAAAGGAAGATGATAAGAGGTGGAAAGAAGATGGATGCTCTTTAAAAGCTATAAAACAGTAATAATGAAATATACATATGCATCAAAAATCAAAGAAGAATTAAATGTTATGCAACAGTTTATATGTTACAGATTATATTTTAACCACTTTTGGGGCTGAACGTAATATTAATACAAAATACCAATATAAAATATAACAGTAATACAAAGTAAATATTAATACAAAAGAAAAAAAAGGCAGTACAGTCAACCAGAACAATATAGCAAATATCCAAATACCCACCATTCACTTTCACGGGCAGCTTTCGGCGCAGATGTAATTTCCAGCATTCTTTTTGGAAACTGGGATAACTCACACTACCCCCACCTTTTCCAGTCTCTCATTTCTAATCAAGTTCATTCACAACAGTAGCCTAGGGGGCGTGGCCTCAGCCTTATCAGACAGTGAAAGAATGCCCCCCCCCCAGCAGTCATTTCGTTGGTGTCAGCCCCTTTAGGGTTTCCCCACCAGGACTGTCCTGCCAGGGGTCTCCAAGTAGATACGCTACCCCCCCAAAAAAACAACTAACCACAGCTATAGCAAATTCTTGTTCTTCATGAGTAGGATGAGCTGGCCAAACACTATGGATCCACCAACCGTTAGTATCCTCTTTACAGCTCTCCATAGTCCTGTTACCGACTTGTCTATGACTCAATAAGCCAAGTTAAAAAGCAAATGATTGAATACTCAGTTTTGTGGATAACTCAAATTTTCAGTGATCTCTTAAGAGCACATTGAGCGGAATGACAGTAATAAGAACCAAATTGAAATGGATCTGTACATGTTTCATAGTTGAACTTTGGAATTATTTACCATGAAATGTGCTGATGGCCACCAACTTAGAGGGCCTTTAAAAATTCATGGAGGATCTGGCTATCAATAGTTACTAGTCATGAGGATTACTAGTTACTAGTCATGAGGATTAGAGGTACCATGGCTGATATTCAACTATGCTCTACTGGTAGTAGATCCATTTAAATTAATGGACTTAAGTTTCTTATGTTGATGGACTGCAGTAGGTTTGCTCTGAGTATGACCATCATTGGCTATCATCCCATGATTTTGAATACCAGTTGCTAGGAAAGAACGCTGAGAGAATGCCATTACCCTCATGTCCTACTTTTCAGCTTTTTGGACTAGATAGGCTTTTGGTCTGATCACAGTTGTTAAATCTGCATGTAATTAAGACATGAATAGCCTCTGCTGTATCTGTCTTCTCCAGAAGAGGCCATAACTTCCAAAACAGCCGAATCTCGTTAAAAATAAAGAAATCTATCCATAGTCACCACTTGACTATCCAGGAAAAGTAATGGATCCAGGAGCATCTGCAAGCTAAACCCAAATGGTGGAACTGCAGTCTAAAGTACATCAATCTGATTAGTTTTATCAGTAGTGTAAACAACACTCCCTTAATTTGTTTCACTTGGATTTATCTCAGAAAAAGTGATTGTGTAAGGCAGAGCTTACCAAATTGTGTGTCGCGGCACATTAGCGTGTCAGTTACAGTGTGTAGGTGTGTTGTGCAAACTCTCCCTGTGCTCCTCCCGGGGTTGGAAAGGGGTTAGTTTAACCTCCAGTTTGCTAGTAAAACTGAATTACTGTGTTGTGAAATGATGCATGTCTAAAAAGTGTGTCACCAACATGAAAAGTTTGGAAAGCTCTGGTGTAAGGTGTGCTTACTGCTCAGTGACTGCAGAACTGAGGAGTGACTTATATTTGTGAAATAGATGAATCACTAAAGATCTCCCAATATGACCCCAAGCACAATGCTTTTAATTTCAATTTAATTTTAGAAATTTTCAGTTGAAAGTTTATAAATCAGCATTGCAAATCATGGGCAACTCATTCATAACATCAGTATCATCGTTTAATGATGATGTAATGAGTGAACGACTTCCATATGTGAATGAGCCATAAGGAATCCTCATTACCATAGATAATCATGCCATAGCATCTCCACCACAGAGCTTTGTTGAGTGGTCATGTGGTAAGAAATCAAGTGGTGAACATGCATGTGTGAATTCCCCTTTAAAAGGCTATTTATGGGGAAACGTCCCAAAATTCTAAAGATGGTGTTGCTTCTCGACATACCTCCAGGGGAGCCAGCCAAAGCAAAAGCATTTGAAGTTGCATTCTTCTTGATGTGACACTTTTATTTTGTTTTTAAGATAAATTAGATACATAATGCCATTTTACATTTTCCAGGCAGCTCAACATGTTCTCTCTTTGGTTACAAGCTGACGTTTGCCACCCCGTATTTTGACTCTCACCTCTCAAGTAAGACAGATATCATAGACTCACCATTGTTACTGTTGCAGGCTGACTATGGTACTTGAGCCAGTAAGCAAGTCCTAGAAATTAATTTGACAGTGGAATGCAATGAAAACATAACACACTTTGAGTGGAGCCAACTGTCTCATATACTGTCATCCAGTCCATTTGACAAACTGAGCTATGATAATCAAACCACTTACCAGAATACAATTCTGTTTTTATTAATGGACGTTGCCCAATGGTCCTCATCCTATCACAGTCTCACTTGATTTCTTTTTGGCATGCTTTCATAAGCCTGTGTGTATTTTGTGATTAGTTTCCAGAAGCATAGAAATTGATACTAGGTGCTGTAGTCAACATCCTGAAATGTTATTTCATTTTTAAAGGGACTTCTACTTACTTATTTATTCAAACATTTTTATGCCACCTTTCAGTCCTAACAGTGGCCTCCAATGTGGTTGATTTAATCCTGTTACCCTTAATTTTTTAAAAAAACTAAAAAAACCAAAACTAAAAAGAACACAGCTGAAAGTTTCAATATCAGTTAAAAAAACAAAAAACAACATTCAGAGCCAAGTGGAATCTTTGTTCTTTTTTTACTGCCCACTTTGACAGCCTCTGTTTTAGCAGTTGTTTTTTTTAAATTTAAAAAATCGCATTTCCTTTCTTAGCATTTAAGACTGTCTACCTCTTGTTAATGTTTAGCTCCTTTTTAATTGTTGAATTGATGTTTTTATATTGTCATTGGACTTTTGTGATTTTGCTTTTTATTTTTTATTTTTTCTATTTTAAATATGTACTGAAATAGTTATTGTTTGCATAGTGTTTGCTATCAGGAGACTAACTAATACATTTAGTAAGCAAGTAAACAAAGTTTGCAAAATACAAACAGTCTTGCCTTTATACGTAGCAAGATGCAGCTCTGCTGTCTATTTTTTGCAACATAACTGTAACATTATAGCCTTTGGACCCATAGCAAGACAGGATGACAGGGAATGGAGGAAGGAAGGCATCCTTATTGCTGACAATTCCTGAGTGATTTAGATATATCTGTTCTTCAGTTCATTTGAGCCAGTAGAATCTTGTGAGCAGTGAAGAATAGCGCTCATGTGGTTTCTGGTGATCTAAGCTCCACTATTCAGCTTTCAAGATGTTATCCATAGCTAGATGCATTAGATCTGGGTTTCCCAACCCTCCGACAGTTGAGGCACACATATGGAGGAGTAAGCAATACCTGTCCTCAAAACCATGTGTTTCTATATGAGTAGGTAATTTGGCATTGGGAGCAATAAAGGTTAGGGAAGGACCTAGCTAAGTGTATGCAGAAGGTCCAAGGGTCAATTCTCTGCATCTCCAGGTAGCGTTGGGAGGGACCCTTGTTTGAAATCAGTATAAGGTAACTTGCTATGCTCTTGTGTTATTGTGACCCATAGTATCAGTGTGGTAAAGACGGCATTGCCCCTACCCTTAGTGCATCATTGTCCCTTCCCAATTTAAAGGGTGTGGATCCGATCTGCATGTGTTGCTTATAACCACATTGACCCGTAATAAAAGATGTAGTGGAGTAGGGCAGGGAAAAGTGGTTCCAGATCTCCATCATGTCTATAGGCTAGCGCTTGGAATTCACCAGGTTCCAGGCACATTTCACACCTGGCTATCGGTTAGAATTCTATCCATTATATTTTTATCTTCACAAACAAAATGAATTTCAGGAACCAAAAAGCCGTATTGAAAAATAGGACTTTCGAGCCATCTGGCCCCAAAATGGCAACTAGGCATTCCGTTTTGGTGACTGTAACCCTGGTTTAAGGGGCCATTTGGAGCCTAGCTTATGTATCTGAGTTTCTAACATTGCTATATAGGCTCTAAACAGAACCACCTGCAAAGGGCTCTAATTTTCATTGAACCATGTAGTTCCAAGGAAATAAATGGGGCAACCAATCCAACACCCTTCCCTCAGACAGAATATCCTCTTCATTTTTTTCCATTTCTGACCTGATGTTATAACACAGAGCCTTAAACTCATACCAAGTTATTTTGTTTTCTGTTTCTCTTCCCATTTTATGAACAGGAAGAAGATAAATATAAGGGAATAAGGGGCAACCCAGTCAGATGGGTGGAATATAAATAATAAATTTTAATATTATTATTCTGTAAGAAAGCAAATTTATTTATTACTGTAAAAGCTTGGGATCCATTTCCATGTGGTCCACCCTGCAATGGTAATGTCTGTACACAAAATTCATGGGCTTGGGTTTAGCAGACATCGTTGCTTCCCATGCCTCAGTGGTAACATATGACTCAGGTCTAAGAACAGGATGTTCACTCAAAGGGGGTTCTGTTTTATTCTAAATGTGTCATGCACCTTAGAGTGTTCGCTTTTATGGCAGAGTTCGCTGGAGTAGTTAAGAAACAAGAGGTTTGGTTTCTGCTTGTTTGTGGTCTCTTGGCGAATTTTCTAAACAGGTGATCCATGGCTAACTACTATAAGTAGACGTGCAGGGGTGATTAATACAGGAAAACAAATTAGTCACAGGTTTCATCCATCATGGAACATAATGTAGTTGTTAAGTTTCACACGAATCAAGGAGCCGTGTAATATGATAGAGCTTGCTTACATGACGTTCAGATCGGTTTAATGCAGTGTGTTGTATGTAGGGCTCTTCTTTCTTTCTTTCTTTCTTTCTTTCTTCCTTTCTTTCAGAAGGGGGTGAAGGAGAGACAGTTGAAAACTCCAATTGCTTCAGAATACTTCTGCTAGATTGTTGACTGGAGCTGGTTGAATGGAACCTTGCCAGTTACAACCACACTAGCTTCCAGTCCCATTTCACAGCACAATTCAAAGTGCTGGTTTTAACTCTTCAATCTGTACCCAATAGACTGCCTTCCCCTACACGAGCCTACCTAAATGTTAAGTTTGTCTTTTGAAGTGCTTCTCTGGGTGCCCCTGCCATTAGTTATATGGGAGAATACCATTCTGGATGTGATGCCTCCCCTCTGCCATGCCAATGACTTACATGCTCAGAGCTTTAAAAAATCCCCAGCGGCATTAAAACAGACCTGCAGACATTTGCATGAAAAGTGCCATGAAATCCGTCGATGCCCGTGACACATGCAGCTTGTATGTGGGATTGTAATGTTAATGCTTGATACCTTCATTTGAATGACAATCCATTGTGTTTGTATATGTAAGAGAGCATTCTTCCTCCTGGCCTTGTTTCAGGACATATTTTTTATTTCCTTTTCAGAGGAAAGTTTCCACAAAAGGAGCTGGAAGCTCTGTTTCCTGGGATGAGTGCTGACTTCACCAGTGAAAACTTTTCTGCGGCCTGGTATTTGATAGAGAACCATTCAACTACAAGGTTCGTAAATACGAAATTTGTGTGGATGCTTTAATGCTATCTAGGAAGTATCAGTAATACTGGGTGTGAATTGGCGGTTGATGGTTGCACATCAGTAGCTCATAAAGATTTGTGTCAGTGACATCTTTTACTGACTATGTGAGGCAACCTTCAGGTTGGTCCAGAGGCTTCATCTTGTGCAGAACGTGGCAAGCTAGATTGCTTGTGCAGGCAAATTATCGCCAGCATATAATGCCCTAATTGTGGGACTTCAGGATAAGGTTACTTGAGAAATCTCCTTAACACTTAAATACCTAGTAGTCACCGCAGAGCATGGGAGAGCTTCTCCTGCAAGTTTCAAAGATATCAAAAGCCCACAGTAACTTGGAGCAAGGCTTTTAGTATGGCTGCCTCTGTTTTGTGGAACAGTATTCCTGTCGAGATATGACAGGCGCCCGCTCTCTGCACTTTCCGGAAACAGTTGAAGACATTTTTGTTCTGACAAGCTTTCCCAGCTGGATGAACAGATCTCTACCATGGGTTTTTCCTTCCCTCTCCTTTTTCAACTCATCTGCTGTTATTTTCTATTATGTCTTTAATTGTTTTTAGCAGTTTTTATTACGCCATGCACATCACCTCAAGACATACATGCGGAAGGCGAATAAATAATGAATAATAGTAAATGCAATGGTTGTGGATTGCATCTTAACTCTGAGATTTGGGGTAAATGTATTAATGTTAGCCATAAATTAATAACTCTGGGAACCATTTTCGTATTCATAAGATTTACTATCATGTTAATTGAATGCAAGAGATGAATGAAGAATGCAAGAAAACGTTCACCAGCTTGAATGGCTTTAAAAGAGAATTAGACAAATTCATGGAGGATAAGACTATCAGCTGATACTAGTCATGATGGCTATCTGTTGCTATTATCACAGTAGGGCTCATAAGTGGAAGAGGACTGCTACTGGGCTTCCCATAGACATCTGGCTGGCTACTGCGAAAACAGAATGATGAACTTCCTGGGTTTTTGTCTGATCCAGTGGAGCTCCTCTTATTTTTATTATGAACATAGCTGAGAAACTTTGCTTGAAAAACCCAATAATTTGATTTTACCGTGTTTTTAAAAAAGTAAACCACCCCAGTACTTTGCCTCTGATATGTATGAAAAATTGTGCTTCTCATTTCACCATTTTAGTGTGTAGAATGCATTATTTCATACCTCCATCTATTTGAAATACCAAACGCTTTCATTTCTTGGAATGTAGCCCTCTAGACGGTAGCCATAATTCATAGCTGGAGTTCATTGTTAACGTATTTACTTATTTAAATTGAATATTCCTCCTCTTGGCATGTTTGCTGAACCAAGTACATTTGTCATTATGACAAGAATAAACAAAAGTACAAGGATAGAAAACCGAAATTTTAAAAGGCCAAGATCCAATTATTGTTTTAGACTAGTAACAGCAACTAGGAGATGAAAGATTTGTATGAATGACATTTTGGTTTGCTATATCATGCAGCTGTAGACAATTTTGTTAATTTGTCTATTTCTATTCTTTTTTCCTTTTCTTTCTCTTCCCCCCAAAAATCTAGTGGTTGTTTTTTTAAAAAGAAAATGTAAAGGACCCATTACAATACTTTGTGTTTCAGTTAACAATATTGTTTCTAATAGATATTGAGACCTAGCTGGCCTCACATCTTCTGTAAAACTTCCTACTTTTTTTGTTCTGTTCTCTTCCTTCTCCTTACCTGTTCCAAATGTTTTTGGTGGTACATTCACATAACCATGGCTTTTTCATGGTTGATTCTCATATTCTAACCTGGTAGTTTACAACTTCCATCAAGTATTAGCAAGCACAACACTGCAACATGCCTAGTCAGCTCCTGCCACTGGAGAAATTAGGAAATTGTCCACTAGGCATTCTGGTGTCTCTTAAGTGTGTAGCTAGGGTTTTTAATCTCTTCATAATTTAAGTATCTCATTTCGTGTTTATTATATGAATGAATTCAGTTTGTTTTCTTGCTTCTTGGTTTCAGTTTTGAGCAGCTTAAAATGGCAGTTATGAATTTGAAGAAACAAGCCAACAAGAAAAATGAGGGAAGTCTACAGTATGTCAAAGGAGGTCTCAGTACTTTCTTTGAAGCACAAGATGCCTTATCAGGTAAGTGTCAGATGCAGTATGCAGAAAACTATTCTGTATTAATTGCCTTTATTTTTGCCCTGATTTCTAGAAGAGTATGTGGATGGACATGGATCGGACAAATATGAACATTATAGATGACTAAGGTCACTAGTGGAGGCAGGAAGTTCTGAAAAGCTGTAAATCGATAGAGAAAAGTACCTGTTAGGTATTTCCAAAATATTTTATAACTTCCCTCTCCAAAAATGCTAATTCTTACTTTTGAATAGCATTAACTCACGTGAATAGATGCTTACATTATTTTACTCTGGTGACTGAGTTAACAGGCTTCTCTATATTACTGAGGTAAGAATTGGCATAAAATACATTTGTTTTCTGGAAATTAAATACATAGATGTTCTCTTTCAGCACAGTTTGTAGCAGGCCCCTGAATTCAGAGATTTGCGTAACCTGGATCCTTGCATAAACTGATGCTTACGTCTCATCTTAAAACAATCTGTAGTTCATAGAAGGAAAAGCTCTCTTTAGTTCTATCAGCACAGAAGAATCTGAGGGAAGCTGCTATCTGGGATCAGAATAGAAGTCCTTTACGTGAACATTTGTCATTACCCATTTGTTGAGAGTGTTTTGTTTTTTCCCCTCATGGGAAGAATTACATTTCAGAAATGTGAGATTCTGGTCATGGAACATTTACAATGTGTTCTGCACTTTTATAGGCTTTCTTAACTGCCTTTATTGTTTAGTTTGTGTGGACGTAGAACTGGAGAGTAAGTGTGCTGCAGTATCTCATAGAAGGTGCTTTTCAGTATTTAAAAGCTTTTTGGGGCTTTTCCAGCTTTTTGATAGTGCAAAGCAGAAATGCCCTATGCTCTTAAGTCCACACAGATAAAATCAATGTGGCACTAATATAATAATAAATGTTTTCTTAGTTTATCTATTGCATTGTTTTGATCAGGCACATCTCCTGGAAAAACAAACTCTTGTTCGTAATTAGTGTTGTAAAATGGATATTGGCTTAAGCATGACAGTTCTCTGCTTTTTAACTAATTGCCAGTCTGTGTGAAAGCCACATAATCTGGGTCTTCTTCCCATTTGGCAGCATACAAAAAGAACTATATTTCTAGTGTTTGCTGGTATAAGCAGGGAATAAAAATTGGGAAAGTAGGGATGCCATGTAACTGATGCTTCATAATCTAAAGAGTTGTAGCGTTCATTGCTGTTGGACAGGCATGGTGGTCCAAATCCAGCCCTTGAATATATTTTATCTGGTTCTTGGTGGTCATATCAGATTTTAATCATGTGGGGCAGAACATTTTTCGGCACGTTATTTTTCCATGGCAAGATCTTCTTATTTTGTAAGTTTGTTAGTGAATCGATGCCATTTTCAGATATGAAACTAGGCAAGCTTGGCAGGTTCAAAGAGTTTAGCTTTGTTTACCAAATGCAAGTAATATAAACATACTAAATTACATCACCCTCTGGGGCATCAGTACATTTTCCTATGCAAACTGAAAATTTTCTGCTGCTAATTACCTATGCAGATCATCTTAATTTGCCTAGAAAAATTAATACATCTCTCTTGTCAGATCTTGTCTATACTCCCCAGTGTACTTTAATTGTAAAGTGGTTGCATTTAGATGATGCCAGCATTGGAGCGTGATCATTTGTGAGATGCAGGTAGAAATGGCATCTATGTAACTGAGTGAACTTATGTGGGTATACAAACATGCAAAGTGATCAAGAATATTTCATATTTTTACATTAAACGGATCCAGTAAAATATATCATTTTACCTGATTTGTAAATCCTTTGGGAATGCCAAAGCAAGCACTACTGAACTTCCTTCCAGTGAACATTTTGTTGTTTGGCACAACTGTGTAAGATCAGCCCTTCTTTCGCTTTCCCTTTTCACATCTAAAACAATAGTTTTGTAGACATTACACATCCCAAATCGGTATGGATAATGGCTTTTAATTCAGCGTTATTTAGTTAGGCATGTGATGTGTGACATGGCACAAGAAGTCTTAACATCTGCTTTGGCATATTTTTGGCTTGCCCTATAGGTTTTTCATTTCTTATTTTCACATGAAAGTCAGTTTTAAAGCATAGGCCTGCAGAACAAGCTTCCCACCCTTGGTGTAAATTGATAAATGAAGGACTTTGGTGGGAATGAATTCAGCAAATATTCTCCCACCACCGTTCTCAAGCAAGAGGTCCCATTGCCTAAACTGGAAATATTCAAATGTTATGTTCTCAGTCCAACCGTTATTCAGAAATCCTGTGTGTCTGTTCTTCATAAACTACCTGTTGTAGTAGGGATTCCTAGTCACAATAGCCCCTGAAATATGCTACAGAACAAGCAATAGAGCAATAGTAGAGAATAATAGGACAAGAATAAAGTTACTGGACATCAGGAGTGAAGGAAGCAAAGGGGGGGGGAGTATTTTAATTTGGAAGCTAGCATGGGAATCTTCTGGTAAGATACCCTAATTAAATAAATGAAGAACTCAGGCATGGAAAAGCTCTAGAGTTAAGGAAAGCCGTGGCAGTGTGCCCAGGTACTGTTAGTGAAGACCAGTGGTTTGAGGAAGGCGTGAAAAGTTGGTGAGATAACAATTATATTTAGTTTATCATATTCCACAGTGCCGCATTGACCTTTCCAAATTAGAGCACAGTAGGACCTACAAAGTAGTATAAAATAAATTTGCTTCTTGAGAGTCGGATAAAGCAAGAAATTATAGTCAATGAAGCAAAATAAAGTATATGAAGCAGAACTATTTTATACTACATACAATAAAGCCCAATATATAATACAGAATTTTAATGTTAATTTAGAGGACTAAATAAGGAAACCTGGCCCCCCACAGGTTGATGACTTCAGCCGTACTGCCAAAGATCATACCGTAAGCTTGCAGAATAGGAGAGTTTAGAAGTCTGATGTATCTGGCTCTTATCAACAGTGCCCGCTTCCCTAATTCTTTTGTAACAAACACGTACCGCTCAGATCTAACAAGGGTACTGCTCAGACATGTTGTCTCACCCATTAAAATGGTTGGCATTTAACAAGATGTTTTATTTCAGCAATCCATCAAAAACTGGAAGCGGATGGAACAGAAAAAGTGGAAGGATCCATGACGCAAAAACTAGAGAATGTTCTGAACAGTGAGTTTTGAACACCCAGTAACAGCTATTTATAGACTTTGTGTTTTATAACAAGTTGAGGCATATTTCTTGGACTTTGAAATTTTGGGGGAAACACATTTTTTTTCCAGATTCTTATTTCCAAATCATGAGAATATATGGAGCCTAAGAGTTTAACAAATGATAGCATTGCATAGGATTTAATTCCAAAGGGCAATTCATCTGGATATGAGGCAGGTTTACGGAGCGTAGTTTAATAGCTTTTATTATATCATTTAACATTTCATATTCTTCAGAAGGAGTTTTGAATATCAATCGAGACATGGAATAATTTTGCAAGTACATGGTCTTGTTTTTCTACATTGGATTCCATTTGTCAAAATATCGGATAAATGGTAGCCATTTGGGGAGCAATCCTATAGCAACATCCTCTAACATGAGCAATTTAGGATCTCTGGTGGCGCATTGAGGTTTCCAGCATAGCCAGCTTACTCTGGCTGAACTCCCTCTTCCTCGGCTTACCTGGACATACACTGGCATTTCTCCTCCATCCCGACCCATCTGGTACCCAGCCAGCTGAGCCAAGCTTGCTAAACCTTAAAGGGACCCCTGACCGTTAGGTCCAGTCGTGGCCGACTCTGGGGTTGCAGCGCTCATCTTGCTTTATTGGCCGAGGGAGCCGGCGTACAGCCGCTTCTGGCGAACCAGAGCAGCACATGGAAATGCCGTTTACCTTCCCGCCGGAGCAGTACCTATTTATCTACTTGCACTTTGAAGTGCTTTCGAACTGCTAGGTTGGCAGGAGCAGGGACCGAGCAACGGGAGCTCACCCTGTCGCGGGGATTCGAACCACCGACCTTCTGATCGGCAAGTCCTATGCTCTGTTGTTTAACCCACAGTGCCACCCGTGTCCCTGCTAAACCTTAAGCTGGTGCAAACCCCGGGAAAGGGCTGTTCTGGATGTGGGACGAGACAGGAAAAATGGTCACCTCAGTCACATGACCTGGCAACTCAGCAAAGTTAAGGCAGCAAAAAGCTCAAACTCTATTTTAAAGGCTTGTTTCTCCTCTGCCATGCTTATTCCAGCTCAGCCAGCAGTAGCCTCACAGCCGAGCGGGGTTTGGATCTGGTGTAGTTTTACATCAGCTTAACTTACACTGGCTTGCTTTGTGTATAGGATGGTTCCCTGGGTCTTTGATGTGCACTGAAGACACTAACATTTCCATTTTCTGTATCTGAGAAATTCCTTAGCCTCTTTAGGTTTCCAGGAATGCTCTGTGCCTCAGTCTGGTGATACCACTTTATTTATTTAAAAAAAATTATGTTGAACACACTCTCTCTCTATATATATATTTAAATGTGAACAACTCCTGTCCTAAATATAAAAAGCCTTCAAATTACAGAATGTGGTTTCTAACACGAAACCTTTGTCACTTAATGGCATTTCTGAAAATACTTGGGAGATCTGCAGAGACACTGGGAGTTTTTCTCTCATGTTATATTCCACGGAAATAATTATATTATGTACGATCAGACTTCTTTCTTAGCTTTCTACTCAGCCAGAGGCTTAGATTGCAAGATCCTGCTACATGAGAGGGTTCACCAGATCAACCCTGGTAACCCTGCAGGCCTTGTACCCCTAGAAAGTTGACTCCAGAAAGTGAAAGGACCCTGTGGACCACCTGTTGGGGGGGGGACTGCAGAAAGGGCTGGAAAATTGTGAAAACTTCCCACCTCTGCATGACCAAAAGTGGCTTCTTTTTGCAGAATGGGATCTTTGGTTTCCTAGCACTAAGAGGGAGAGATATTCATGTTCTCTTAGCATACCAGCTTGAATCTTTTATAGGGGTTTCATTTCAAACCCTGCCTGGTGAATGCAGAGATTTTGACTTCTCTGGATGAAGCCACGGCATTAGAGTAACTGATCCACTTCATAAGGGTATGTTATATCCAGGACTGCCACACCCTACCCTTCCACTCAAACAATTTTAGCAGAAGATGTAACCTTTGCCTCTCTTGCTTTGAAACACATATCACAATTTAATAAATAACGGGATTGTAATAAACTACATTTTGAAGGAAGAAGACAAGTTAATGCTGAAATCTTAGGTGATCTAAAAAAATATTCATCCCAGCATCCTAAATCAAACTTAAATAGTGCTGTTAAATAGGGGTTCATGATTTGAAGGCTGGTTTCTAAATATGTGATTAGGTGTTGCTTTTCTCCATCTTAACCAGAGTTTAGTTGAAATAACTTGACTTCCAAACTAGGAAACATTTTTATTTGGCATTTTGTTCAAGAGTCTTTCAGACGAACCATTAAAATATGAAGAAAGTGGTTTTTTTTTATGGTGGTAAATTGCAATGGATATTATACTGGATAAATTCCAGCACATGGCTAATCAGGGTATTTGGTTAAAAAGAAAAGAATAGTATTTTGCAAAAGACTCTTATTTTGTTTCATTGTGATGTAAGTTCTTTTACCTTCCTCAGTGGAAGCAATACTTCCCTTAAACTGTATCAGTAAGCACAGAACTGCATCCTGATAACTGACTCACTTTTTGAGGATATGAGGATATTGAATGAAATCAGAAAAGTGACATGAAGGCATTTTCTTCTCCCTTTTCATGTCAGGATGTTTTGTTTGCGTATGATTAAAGTCTCACCACTGCAATTGGAAGTAGTAAGCTTTGAACAGCGGTATGCTATACAGAATCTCATATTTATAGTTTGCTTGTCTGTTGGGACTCTCATTTCCCTACAGGCAAAGCTGGAGGGAAGCAAGTGTGAGCCAGAATTTCAGGCACAGTTTCTCACATCCCAGTTCTTTCAGTCTTAGGACATCTGGGAAAAGAACTTTATTTAAAACCAAAGTGATTAAAAATGCAATTTTACCAACTTTTACAATATGACAAATGTAGCAGTTCTGAGGGTTTCAAGACAAGATCCAGTTAACCTCAGTTGTATAAAACAACCCTGTTTGAATAAGGTCAGTTTTTTAAAAAAATTAAACAGTTTGGCTGACAATATTTGTTTTGTATAAATAAGATGTTGCATACTGTATACAGATCTCTAAAAAATTATAATTTCTTGCCAAATTCCTGGTCATCTTGGCCAGAATAGGTGCCATTTGCTTTAATAGGAAATGGTATAACATTAATTGTTGCAGACTATTAAAGAAAAACAAATTTTGAATAAAAATAGCTTTTCACTGTTTCTACCAACTGGAAGAAGGCTGTTTTTGAATATGCTGTCTTGGAGTTCCTTGACTATGCTGATCTATGTTTCAAAACTGGAAATTTAAAATCACTAAAATATCAGTAAATTGTTCTGAGCTGACTATAAATGTTTCTGAATCTGTTTCAGACTTTAAATGAATAATGCCATGTGGTTTTTAATCAAAATGCATTTTGCGACCTTGTTTATCAGAAGACCACATTTGATTTGGATCAATATCACCCTATTTCATTATTGGAACATTATTTTCTTCCAGATACTCGTTTTCCAGAACCATTTTTTAAAAAACAAAAAATGTAAAATATAATCCGGTAACCCATTTCTAAAGAATAGGATTTAGCAAAAATACCCCACTAGGTTTGAAACATCAGGTAATTGTGGTGTGTTGTTTTTCCCTCCCTAACAACCATGAAATGTAGTAGGACCAATTCTCCTGGCAAAACAAAGTTTCTTGCATCGAGGGCTTGAAACTTCATCAGTGTTTAAACATTATTTAGATATAACAATTATTTTACAAAGGCTACTTCTAACATGAGCAGCCCACCCACAGTGTTGACGAGAGAAAATGGCATGCAAGCCACCCAGTGAGACTGATGTAATTTTTTCATCTTTGCTTAAATTATAGTCACTAGACCAGATAATGTAGAAACTTTTTTTTTTTTTACAGGCAGCCATCAAAAGAGCTAAAAACATTCACCTTTTTCTGGTAAATTAAAAATAAGTCACAGGTTTGAAGGAAGGGGGGGAAAGTAAAATGTCTAATACATCTCATTGTGAGTGAAAGAGGCAGGGGCATATTTCTGTCAAACTGAAACATGCTTTAGTATTGGATATACCATGTTAGGCCATGAAGATTAAACACAATTAACGGCTTGATCTCTCATAATTTAAACATTTAACACAGAAATTCTCATCCACTCAGGTCCTTAGGTTCCTGGTTCAGGATCTACTGAAACCAGTCTGTGTTGCTCAAAATTCTGGATCCAAAGAAAAGTCAGAGCTTGTAATTTGATAAATTTCTTAAACGGAATCATTGAATGGAAAATAATAAGGGCACCCTGCTAGTCACATTTTCCTAAAAAGTCCAATTATCTGTTTATAAATAATATTTTGGTTCTTCCCACCAAAGAACAAAATCTGTATTTCGTTGTTCATAACAATGGCATTAAAAATCATGTTTGCTTCAATGTATCCTTCTGTAATGAAAGGAATGTATTGTGTGATGATCAAATTGCCTGCAAGGCTTAGGTAGAACTGCAAAATTCAGCTCTGTAGCCAAAGCAAACTCTAAATTCACCACAATGAAGTCAAAGAATTTGGTCTAAGAACTAGGGTTGCCTTAATTGTACTGTGGTTTCTGCCACATTAAAAGTCTTAAGTAATCAACACTTATAAAATATTGATTCAGCACCTTAGGTTTTTTTTTAAAAAAAATTCTCTTACAGATTTAATATGAATGTTTGTGTGTGTTAATGTAGCTATAATTAATCACTGTAATTAGCTTGACAGATACATAGTTAAAACTCATTACAAGCTACTCTACTTTCCATTGTAAACAACTTATTTACATGTATGTTCCAATTTTTATGTTTATTTTTAAAAAGGAGCAAGTAACACTGCAGATACCTTGTTCCAGGAAGTTTTGGGTCGCAAAGACAAGGCAGATTCAACAAGAAATGCACTCAACGTCCTCCAACGCTTCAAATTTCTTTTTAATCTTCCATTGAATATTGAAAGAAACATTCAAAAGGTACTTGTTATTTTAAGATACAGTACAGATATGATTTTTACCCGAATCAACACTATATATTTCTGGTGGCATATCTTTTTTCTTTCCTTTTTGTATTTTTCAAGGGTGATTATGATGTAGTCATTAATGACTATGAAAAAGCGAAGTCATTGTTTGGGAAGACGGAGGTTCAAGTGTTCAAAAAATGTGAGTTTTGAACTTTAGCAAAGTCAGTTAGGAAAGAGTAACAGCACAAGCTAAGAAGCCCTCTGTGGCATTTAATTTCTGTTTATGCGAGGCATTTTGCAATGTGTGGAATAATTACTGGAAACAACATTGCAGATTCTACCTGAGAAGTACAAGAGAATGTACATTATTCTGTACTGCATATAGCAGGAGTTTGTCAGTCCTTTTGGCATTATGTAACATGAAACTGGTTGAGATTTGGGGTGTCTTCTTTTGGTATATTTACATCTTTTAAAAAGCTATGGAGTTGCAGCCTGCAGTTTTTAAAAATAATTTTCTTGCAAATCTTTCCAGGCTAAAATTAAGATATAAGTTGCTTGTGTATTGCCTGAGTGCGGAAAAAGATTCTGAATCCTAGTACGAGTTCTTTCCCGATTCTCTAAAAATACATTGTTGCATATTACATGTGGTTTTGATATTCTGGAAGGTACATATTTCTAGATCTGTAGGTAAACTATCATTTCAGAGTTAAATGAAATTGGATGAAATTAGTAATAAAACAAATCAAGGATTTGACTGAAGAAGTAACAGAAATTCCAGTTTCTCTTTCTACTTGTAGTTAGGCATGAAAATTAATGAGGAAGAAAATTATATGAAGGTGATAGTAGTACAGATAACTCACAAATTATGCACATCTAACTTTCCTGTATTCAGCTGTATATGATTGGCAAGTTTTAAAAAAATGTCTGGGGGAAAACTTTGGCAATCCCATCCGCCATTGATCCCAATATGTTTTGATTATACATGGTTTTGGCTTTACGCGCTATCACCAGAATATACCCTCTGTGTAAGTTGAGAGTCACCTATGTAATATCTTGCATTTTTTGACTACTAAAAGTTTTGCTTAAAAAGCTTGAACTAATAAAGGTTCTGTTTAAAAGGTTTAGCTTTACATATACATAACATTTTATGCTAAGGAAAACCAAATTTATCCTCTATACAACCATAGATTATGCTGAAGTTGAAACACGAGTTGATGCATTAAGGAAACTGCTTTTGGATAAATTGCTCGAGACTCCATCAACATTACATGATCAGAAACGCTATATAAGGTGACCTTTTCACATTTTTGTCTTTTATATATGTTCTTTGTATAGATGGGAATATTTCTTGGATAATACCTTTTTCTTAACGTAGCAATGTGTTACCATAAAATAATGGCAAAATCTCTATAATGTTTTTCTACTCCAGTGTTTTGTGTGAAACATTACCATCAGATTACATTTAATAGTTTAGATAAGTTTGAAAAAGTCTCTTTCCTGATTCATTTTTTCAAAGTGTTTCTGACGTTGTGTTTAACTGGAAACACAACAAATATTCAACACTTAGATCCTATGTTGTTTCATTATAGAATGCATTATTCTAATATTAGGCATACTGGTTTCATGGTTGATTTTGTGCAATGTAAGAGGTGTAAAGTAGCTTTCATCTGAAAGTGCGTATTAACAATACCTTTGAAATGGACAATACTGAAATTAGGAGAAGTTAATTATAAAAACACTTTGCAACCTTTGTATTGCTGTGTCCTTTAATACTCATTTAATTTCACCCTTTCTTTTGGAAGACACATACAGAGCTTTGAAAACACTTATGCAGCTAATCAACATTTTTCCTGCAATGCAGAGTATCTGGAAATTTGTACAGTATACAAGGCATCTTAAAGGAGCTATATATCACTCTGGGGGCAGGAAGTTTTGGTTTCTCTTGTTGTCCAGTTTATTCAGTTGGCTATATTTAACTTGGATAACTAAATACGAATTTAATGGTTTTAGAGATGGCTATTAAAGCAAATTATTTTAGCTTATGTCATTTTCTTTTAAAGAGGAGACAAAATAGTGATGATGTTTTGTACCCACATTGACCGCTAGATGCTTCTGCACAAGTGATGGAGTTGAATGGGGCAAACAGGGATTTGCTGTTTCATCTGTTGGCCTTAATCCATCTTGTTTCCTGCTTAGAAGCAGTGTGCTATATGCATCCCTGCAGCAACAGAGGGCCTATTTTCGTCATGATTTCTTTTTCATATTTTGCATCCTAAACTCTGAGACCCAGAACATTTGGCAAGAGCTTGAAATGGCTCGGTGGGGCTTGTATTCAGGGCATTTTAAATTTGGCACCTAATTTAAGCCCCACTAGGATTGGGGTTTTTCAGGCAATGTGTGCCTGCAAGCCCCACTAGGATTTGCTGCGACTGAAAATCCCTGAGTGCCTCTGATCGCTGCTGAAGCAAGGGAACTCCCCAGTGCTGCCAACTTCAGCAAGGTTTTCAGGCACTGCTGATCAGCAGTGTGTGTCGGGACACATTTCTAGACAAAATTGCACAGGTTTAATTATGAGGCAAACCTAAAGTTAATTTTGGGTGTCCTTAAGCCTAAATATCCACAAGTTTCTTAATAAGGCTCCTGTTGCAATGGTTGGAAATATTGCATACTTTATATATGACTGACTGGAAAGAACCTTGAAGAACTGAAATGCTGTTTTAGGAACATATAGGGTTTGGGGTTTTTTTTAAAAAAGAAAGCTAGTAGCATATGCCTAACTTCATTTATAATGTCTGCCAGGTGCAGACAGGAACATAGATTGTCACCGCTAGTCCCCAGAGAGCACAATGTGTCAGTCTCTCATTCACAGTAGCCATGCGCAAGGCAGTGAGAATGGGGAAGAGACACTTGAAGCTTAAGCAGTGCTTAATTGGGTCAAAATCCCATTCCAGTTGTGGAGGAGCAGACAATTCTGTTCATCCCATCACCACACTTACTATGTACAGTGGTACCTCGGGTTACATCGCTTCAGGTTACATACGCTTCAGGTTACAGACTCCGCTAACCCAGAAATAATACCTCAGGTTAAGAACTTTGCTTCAGGATGAGAACAGAAATCGTGCTCCGGCAGCGCAGCGGCAGCAGGAGGCCCCATTAGCTAAAGTGGTGCTTCAGGTTAAGAACAGTTTCAGGTTAAGAACGGACCTCCAGAATGAATTAAGTACTTAACCCGAGGTACCACTGTATGTCATAATACCAGTGCTCCTTGCAGCCAGCTGAATGCGCCTATGTCTGTGCAGTTCTTTCTTCTCAATGAAGAGACAGAAGATCACACAATTTGGCCCTCCCCCTCCCCTATGAGGGAGAATATTCCTGCTTCCCTTACTGTGTTGCATTATGAGCATGATGGAGGGGAATATTCCTGCTTCTGTCCCACAGAACAGGATTTGGCTCAGGTAAGCATCTGAATTAGGGTCCTGTGTATCTCCTCAACCTGCGAGGATGGATAATGAATCCTCTTGCCAAATACTCTAACTGCTCAGCTTGCTTAAGCCCCTGGAGCTGATGCAAGAACTTAGAATAATTTTTCAGTGACTTCCCCTTCGCTCCCCAAGAAATGTAGGGGAAGTGGTATCACAGCTGAGTAATACGGAAAGATGCAGTGAGGTAGAGTAGACAGTGGGAGGAGCTGCACCCCAAGACTCGGTGTACTAGCTAGAGACATATTTCATAATTAACTGCTTCTTTTTTTCACCCTCTATTTAATTTTTTGATTATTTTTTTTTAGGACAGAAATCTTGAATACTTGCCAGTGGGGAAAAGAAAGAAAGAATAAAAGTGCTCTGGCTTAACTATATCCCTTTATTTATATTATGTCAAACCCCGCAACACACATATACTGAGTGGGGATTTAAAAAGGCTTAAAACTTCTCAGCTTGCTTTGGTGTATTACTAGGATATGAGTGATATAGGTCCCCCCCCCCCTTTTAACATTACTATGCGTTTGTAAATAAGGGGCTGCCTTTAGTTTATGTCTTGTAGTCTGCATCTAACACAGCAACCTGGCTGAAGCTGAGCAGGTCTTGTCACTGCCTGTACTACCTGATATAAGTGTAGTAAATAAGTTATTATTTGCAGTTATCATTTGCAGAGTCTACAGACTCCTATAGCCTTGGAAAACAGTGTTGCGGTATGAATGCAATCCCATATAAAAATGTCATGGTGTTAGCTAGAAATAACTGCCTATAGTAGCACAATCTGGCAAAACAAAACAGACTGAAAGCATAATACCACAGTGCCTCCATTTCCAGATTCACAGTAAATTTACAAAAATCTCTCTTTTAAAAATAAAAATCAGTATTAATAACTACATGCACATGCTTTGTTTCTGGATTAGTGTGTCTGCCTCTAGGCATTTACTAGTGAAGGTATTTTTTTGTATTTGAAAACTTAAAGCTAGGTGAATAGGCCACTTTTTAAAACGACTTCGATTTTTTGCATGTGTAACAAGCCTTAATCTCCAATTACCTGCGATTGGCTACCTTTCCATTTTGGTTGGGAACTGGGCCTGTCTTACTCAGAAGTCAGGATTAGTTGTACTTAAGTTGCAATCCTATACATACTGTTTTACCTGGAAGTATGCTCGATTGCACTCGGTAGTTCTAAAATGTCCATGTCTAGGATTGCACTGTTAACTGGAAACAGCTGCCTTGGAATATTGCAAAAAGATGCACATTTAACACAAGCTCTGTGGCTGTCTTTCTGTTGATTGTAATAGGCTAAAGCCGTATCCCACTCACCTAGGGGTAAGCCCCACTGACTCACTGGGACTTACTCTTGACTGGGATTGCACTGTTAATTTTCAAGTCATCAGTTCTGTTTCAGAACTCTGGTTTTGCTCCCTTTTGCCAAGGATTGGGGTGGGTGGGAAGAAAGGGGAGTGATCCATGAAACACAGAAGTGGCATGGATTGGTTTTGAATCCTCATTTATTCAGCATAATAATTTTGCAGGTATCTTTCTGATCTCCATGCAGAAGGGGACCCAGCATGGCAATGTATCGCTGCCCAACATAAGTGGATTCTGCAGCTTATGCACAACTGTAAAGAGAGCTATATTAAAGAACAAAAAGGTAATTAATTTTTTGTTTGAAAAAGTGTCCTCCATTGAACCTGAAGACTGCAGTATAGGTTTTCCCTCCGCCGTCTCCTCTCTCTCTCTCTTTGTATAGATTTCGCATACGTAAACCTTTTCAGCTATTCAGTTTTGATCCATCTTATTTTACAAGAATTCATATTTCATATGAATTCTTACGATTCTTGAAACTGACAGGGAGGAAGATACAAAAACACAACTCCCTTCCTGGTAGGAATGATACCCAGCCACTGCTTTTCTTGCCATCCACTTTTTCTGGTGATCAAGAGAAGCAGTGACAGCTGGAGCTCCCATGAGAGCATTCCTGCTGATGTGCTAGGAAAGAACCCTGGCCTCTTCTTCCAGGGACCCAAAAGCTGCAAAACCTTTTTTTTAATGGAAGAAGGTAGCTTGCATTTGAGGGACTGGAAGGAAATAAGTAACTGTGTCTGGGAAAAGATGTGAGTGGGTTTAAACAGTTTATAGTGCACTGCTGTCTTTGCTAGGACCAAGTGCATGATTAAGGCATGCCGAGTTTGATCTGGTTTTAGATCCTGGTTAGTATTAAACCACAGTTCAAGTAAGGGGAAACTGTGGTTTAAATAAGTCACAATGTGAGTACTGCAGCTGGGCATGCAAGGGCAATACATAAAAGTGGAATACGCAGGCTCTCTGTTTGTTTGGGGGCCAATAAAGCATGGTTTATCAGCCTGAGATCATTATGTCTGAGTTGCGCTGAAGACTCCCCAGAGTGGCAGAAATCTTAGTGCTTAGTGCTGATTTCTGCTGCTGGGGAAATACAGTAATATGCTGTGGCTCTTCTGCCTGATTACTGCTTCTCTTTTTGTCTGTTGGCATTGTGTGAGGAAAGAGGGTTTCAAACGGACTTCCCAACGCAAGTTGTATAGCACAACAAACAAGAAAATCAGGAGGGGAGTGCTATGCAGTTAAGAAATGAAGTCTTTTAAACATATCTGTAGAAAAGCCTTAATTTATTCCTAGGTATACTTGACATCATGCTAGCTCCTACAGAATCTCTGAGCACTTTTGCAAAATGTTCAACTTTGATAGAAAAGTATGAATATCAAGCAAATTGTGAAACTTGTTTCTGTTCCTGGAGTAAAGATATGTGTTTGCTTTTAGTGCTAACCTACCAGTAGCTTTGCCTAAGTGCTAGGAAATCAGACAGATCTTTGCCCTTTCGTGCCTCCTACCAGACTTCTATTCACCTTGCAATGAATGATCTATCTTTGTTTGATCAGACAGACAGGCCAACAGGGCCTGTGTCAAAGGAGCCTTTTCAATTTGTTATCCTAGCAGCTGGTTCTCCTCTGCTGCCTTTGCATACTGTACATCTGGAAGAAGGCCTCTTGCAGCTGGGAGTTATTTCATCCCTAACTCACATCCCCTGTTCCTAATAGAAATATTCTTTTAACAGTGAATGTTCAGACAAAGCTTTAATGTAGTATCAGTTATGAAATTAAACTAATAATCATTATGCAGCTTGGCATTTGCTTCTTGAGCTCTTGCCAGCTTAGCAGACGTTTCACAACTTTTGAAGTAGCTTACCTACTTCCGTCGGCCGCATCTTAAAATAGGATGAACATGACTACAAATGCATTTATACCAGAATATTGCAGATCTTAAAAAGTATAATAAAGCTCAGCGAAGGTCAGTATTGGTCAACTGGGTTCTTGAAATCTGCAAAGAAATGTCTATATAAACCCTGTTCAAATTAAACCAGTTCCAGTTCCTCTGAATTTTATGCAGTTTAATCAAGACCAGCACTCAGAGGCACATGCTGTATTAAATAGATTTGGTATTGTGCAACTCTTTACATAAGAGAGGTTCATCATATAATCCATACTATGTCAAGGCATCTTAAAATAGGCCATACATAGGCGCCACACTGTCACAAAGCCGACCATAGAGTCTTACTAAGTCTGTATAGGTAAATTCGCTCTACAGCAATTTGAATTGGGTTCAGAGAAATTGCTGACCTCCTCCATGCTGAACAGAAGGCAGCAGCAAGTACAGCAGCAGTTGAGCAGCTGGATCCTATTTCTTCCCTTTCCCTCCAGCTTTTAGCAGGTGCAACCAAAGAGGAGGCTTCTGACATGGCCTGTGAAATGGCAACCTTCCCTGGGCATATGAGGCAGAAGGTGTAGGTTGCCTTGTTTAAAACAAACAAAGCTCTAAATTGCATTCACTGTAGAGTTTTCCTAACCTAGACATACATACATCAGGAACAAATGAGTGGACTGCTCATTCAAAAATGACATCATGATGAAGTTCAAGGGCAATGTACAGTTATGCCTTCTCCTCTGCAGTTTCTTTCTCAGAGTCCCAGAGGAGTGGCATGTATTGGCTATAACATGGTTTCCCAAACTTGGGTCTCTAGTTGTTTTGGACTTCAACTCCCATCATCCCTAGCTAGCAGTACCAGTGGTCAGGGATGATGGGAACTGTATTGCAAAAACAGCTAGAGACCCTAGTTTGGGAAACCCTGGGCTATAGTATTGGTACAGTTCTTGCTCACTTGCACTAGCATTTAGAGCTTAGTCCAAATATTAAAGTAACATGGAGGGGTTTTTTCCTATTTTTTCTTTTTATGTGTAGTTTGTTTTATCTTCATTTTCAAAACTGCTCCATAATTTTCAATTCTTGACCATGGGGGTGGGATATCCAACTAAGGCATATTCACCGTACACCTATGAAAATAAATGTTAAGTAACTTGAGCCCATTGATTTTAGTAAGTCTATTCTGTGTATAACTAATGTTAGACGTTTGCTGCAAGACTTTAGTTTTCTTGTGGATTAGACTCTGACCCTTAATTCTGAGCTTCCCCACATTTTAAATGCATAAAATTCTTAGGAGGGCACATTCAGGATTTTACCATTCGGCAAAACACTGAAAGAAGGAACTCAGAAACATTCTAAATATTAACGGCAGGTTTTACTTCAATACACTGCAAAATCTGGTAACCCAGGTTTTTGGTTGTTTTTTAAAAAAAAATCATTTATCAATCAATTGATAGATATTAAAACCGCTTTGTTCAATACCAAAATGTGTATTTGTTTTAAATGTAAAAAAAAGTTTCTAAAGTGAACTGAACTAGTTGGCAGTTATGATAGCAAAAAGCTTTGTAAACGAAAGGCATACTTTTTTTATTAGCAATATCTTTTTAATACGCGCTTCATAAATGGCTCGTCTTAGTTTCCAAATATAGACAGATACGGAACAAACAAGACATTTAAAAATACATTGTTGATTCAAGTTAATTTTAAAGGAACTTCCTTAATTTCTTGCTTCGGCAAATTGAAAGTCTTCTGTGTGGCGTGTTTGAAAGGAATCCTATCCTACTTGTGTCGGTGCAGGCTCTAGGCGCTGCCTGTTTGGTCAACAAGCAACGGTGGGTGGTCGGACTGTAGCTCAGGACAAGGGCCTGCTGTGCGCAGGAAAAAATGTTCAAAGGTGTTTAAGGGCGGTAAGGAAGTCTGCTGCCCTTCAGAGAATCCAACAGCTATAGATCAGTGTTTCTTCTCACTATTGTAGCTGTTAAGAGAGACAACGATATGGTGTGCAAAGCAAGAGAAAATACTGCAATTTCATCATGTTGTGACATATCTGTAGAACCTTCATAAACTTGTGTACAGACTCTATGTGTAACAGTTGATTTTTCTGTTATTTGATGGATTTTCCTTTATATAAACAAAGATCCGTTGGATAAGCCATGTGCTTAAAGCAAGATCACAAACAATTTCATTGGAATGTTTTTGCTAAAAAATCAAAAACAGATAGAACTAAACTTTACATTAGCTCTTATCAACCACGTTAAACCGCATGTCTCGCTTAATGTGAATTGTGCAGATGAAGTTGTGGAAAAAATAAAATGTTCTGGGGGAAATGAAATTGCCACCAAACATTTGTGCATTGCTTCTTAAAAAATCAAAGCTTCCTAGTTCAAAATTATTATTCTTGCTAAACCTAGACTTCTAGCAAATTTATCTATAGCCACACTTTTAATAACTAATTCACGTTAATTTTCAGGGACCTGTATTGAAACCTGTACATGGATTGTGTAAATGTGAATTTTCCCAACACAGTTGCAGCTTTGTATAGATTATAAATTGCAGTCTCTATAAACGCCATTTTAAGTAGTATACCAAAATGTTTAAAAAGATTCCTTTTAAAAGGTAGGCACTTGCTTTATTTAAGGTCAGTTGCTTTATCCATTGTTCATAGACGCTTTATGTTATTTTGAACGCGTCTTGTGTTTTCTTTGTTACTCTTAGTTTTGGCGAACATATTTTTTAAAAAATAATCATAGCAATTTAGGAGTGTTTCACACACAACACACCTTCTTCCAGCTTATCGTGAGCCCCAAAATTTCCCCTCAATGCATGTCTGAAGTTTGAAAGCTACAGTAACTTCTCCTGAATTTGGAGAAAACACAGCCAGCTAGATAATAACATCTACATCCAGTGCTTAAAATAGCGGTGCATGGTTTTAAATGGCCACGCTTTAACTTTTTGTTCTGAGTGAGTGATGTCTGAATGCTGATTTGTACAAGAACTCTTTTTCTCCCCTGGCTGCAATGTGTAGTCCTGAAGCGCTATCTCCTGGACAACTTGGAAAAAAGTCAGCTTTGCTAATGCGCTCCAGATGTTCATTAGTCCTGAGGGTATATGTGCTGTTGCCATTCCCTGCTCCTGTGTTGTACTTTCTTGTAATGCTAGACAACCAATTAAGAAATTAGTTTCATGTTAAACTTTCTTTTCCTGGTACCACTGCAAACTGATGATGTGGTTTCTAGTGGAACAAGAGCGTATTCTTTGCTCTGTTTTCTATTATTGGTGAATAAACAAACCATTGGTGGGTTTTTTTGTTTTTTGTTTTTAGTGCAGGAGTGGCAATTTGGTGTAGTCATGCTCTCATCATATCCATCTAGTAACAGACAAGCTGTTTTGACCAATACTACAAAAGGTTAACTTTTTGAGCTGGTGTATTTTTTTGAAATAACCATACCAGTATACTAAGCTATCTTTTTTTATTATTACTTTTTTAAAAAATCCCAATTACTAGAAATCCTTTGAACTTGAAATAGGGTACAATGCATAAATAAGAAATGTGTTTTGAAATATCAAAAGCACATCGGAGGGGAGAACCCGTAATTTTTACTCTTTCCTTTTGCAATGCAAGTTCTGAAAACTTTTTTTTTTAATCAACTAATACTAAAATGCCAGAAGAATGTTTTTGATGTGAATATGCAAAGAGAGGGATAATGTATAGCTTTAATGTATGAAGAAGAGCATTTGACCTGGAAAAAGCCATGCCAAACAGAATAATAATGTTTCAATTTTGTTTTGTCTTACTATATTTTTCCAGTGATTTTCAGGAAATTTACAGATTATTTGACTTAGTTTTAAACAACAGAGCGAAAACCATATGTATGTAAAATGAGTGATTCAAAGCATTTAGAATTTCAACAGGGTTTCTAGAATACCCTTGTGAATTTTGGGTTGGGAAAGAAAAAAAATCATAATTAGCATGCTTTCCTTTTTGTTTGTTTTTGTTTGGTTTTCCTGTTTAAGAGAGGTTACGCTAATGCTAATTTAATTCGTTTAAAAGCCATTCTGCAAATATCGGTCAAATGCCCACACTCAGTATATACATCTGCATGAGTAGATGTGTTTTTCAAGCACTTTTGTAAATTCCCTGTACTATTTTTTTTTCTCCTTCACAATGTTGGTGCCTTAGCTTTACTCTTAAATATTGTTTTGCAGCTAACCTAAAAAACAGTTCCTTTAGTTCGTGTAGACCCATTGCTTAAATCAGTCACTCCATGAAATAAAGGACTGAATGGCCAGGCTGCCAAATTGTTTATTTTTTTGTTTGAAAGTAGGTGGGTGCTGTTTAATAAGAATATATTGACAGTATTTGAGAAAATTCATGAATATTTGTATTAAATTGTTTACAGTCTACTTTTTCAGTCAGGAGTGATATAGATTTACTAAGGTTGTGATAAATTTCCATAATGGTTACATTTGTAACTTTCTTTTGTGATTGACTGAGCTGGTGTCCCAAAACAGCTGATTGACCTATCAGAATCATAATGTTTTGTACCAGTTTCCGTTTCCGTTTCCATTTCCGTGTGCTGCGCTGGTGCAGGCTCGCCAGAGCAGCTTCGTCACGCTGGCCACGTGACCCGGAAGTGTCTTCGGACAGCTCTGGCCCCCGGCCTCTTAAGCGAGATGGGCGCGCAACCCCAGAGTCAGTCACGACTGGCCCGTACGGGCAGGAGTACCTTTATCTTTACCTTTTACCAGTCTAAGGCTGCGAATACCAGAATAAGCACATCACATCTTTTGGCACTTAGGGTTCTCTGCACAAGCTTTTCCTGGTTGCAGTGGCAGCTAGGCCCAGTCAATGCCTGAACAGGGCAGAACTAGACTGAACAGATCTGTATTTTACAGCATAATCCTTTCTACGCCTGCAGATTTGCAAAGAAACTTGACACATTCTGCATTTGCAGCCTTAAAATGACAGTGGTGCAACAACCAATCACAATCTTCTTTGCAGGAAAGCCAGGAGAACTGATCTTCAATATTGCTTGCATGCCACCAATCTCTGAGCGGTGTAAGATTCCAGGGGTTCCAAGGTTCGGTTTTCTTGGAATAAGGGACAGCGGAGACTGTGGTATCTTTAGGATACAGTGGTACCTCAGGTTACATACGCTTCAGGTTACAGACTCCGTTAACCCAGAAATAGTACCTCGAGTTAAGAACTTTGCTTCAGGATGAGAACAGAAATCGTGCTCCGGCGGCAGCCGGAAGCCCCATTAGCTAAAGTGGTGCTTCAGGTTAAGAACAGTTTCAGGTTAAGAACGGACCTCCGGAACGAATTAAGTACTTAACCTGAGGTACCACTGTATATGGTTTTTTCACACATATATACAACCTGAGCCTGCGACAGAGGGGCTCGTGGCATTAACACCCCAAGAGGGTCTTGCTTCCTCCATGGCCACAGCCTTGGATCCTAGCAGAAATCAGACATGGTTCTATCTCTCTGGCTTCTGCCAGCTTCACCTCTGGTCTTTTGTCTTTCTGATTGTGGTTCGAGGACCCGACCCCCGCGATGTGAAATGAATACACAAGGACACGTGATATAAGGTTAATGGGCATGGAAAGGCCACAACTTTATTGATTACAGCAGTGAAAAGGTATTGGCTTAGGCATTGGATCTCTAAAACACGTGGGTTTATTCACCAGTAGGTGGAGCCTGTTGATGCTAATCCAACTATAGGCTCCCCCCTGATGTCACCGAGGGTCGTGCCATGGCCTCCCGCCAAGCAGGCATCGGACAGAACACACGACCGCCAGATTCCTTTAACGGAATACCCAAAATTGAAGGCATAGGCAATGGCCACACCTAGCCCTTCGACACACCACAACACATTATTCCAATGCCTAACCTACCCACCAATACCACAAAAGTTGTGACGATTGCTACGAGGTAGGCGAAAAACCAAAAAGCCTAATGCCAAATGGAAAAACTCCTACCAGGCCCCTGGACAACCAGGGCGACCAACCTAAGGTCCATAGCAAGGCCAATGACCTAAGCCCTAACTCTAAGGGAGTGGAGGGTGGGTGACTCGCGACGAGACGACGGCGAAGAATGAGGCCAGGGAGAGGCTGGCACCGCAGCATAAGGCTGCTGAACACGCCCCCTCCGAGGCACCTGGTTGGATGCCTGCAGAGGGGGCGTGGGCGCCAGCCAGGTGAGGTGGAGGCAGGGGGCAACCGCCCCCCTGCTAGGGGCGGTGCTCGGGCTCCCGCCCACAACCACTCCCCTCTCTTCCAGGGAGGAGAGTCCCTACCAAACAGTTGTGGTTGGAAGATGGACAGCACCGAGGGGTGTATGAAGGGGGGGGCGGGAGGCAGTTCACCCCAGGTGCCACCGGAGGGGCGGTGACAAGATGGCCTGCTGCCTCCCCCCCCCCAGCTGTAGAGCGGCTGAGGGTATGGGCGCCGCACACACGCCGCTCCGGGTGCCGGAGAGGCTTCCTTCCCCATTGACAGCACCCATTTGCCCTCTGGCACTGAGCCACTTCCTTAACAACATATGCTTAGCCCATTACCTCACCAGGAAGCTAGCCTGGCTCTTCCAGGAATTGAATCCGTGCTGGGTTCTGGAATTGGAAGGGGATTTAGGCATACAGCCTAGCCTCCCCCAAAGTCACAATACTACCTCCTTCCAGGAACAAGACATCTGTCCCCAGATGTACAAGCAAACGGCAGAATACAGAATTCCTTGCAGAAAAATAACAAGACAAATTAATAAAGGTATTAGTGTACACGGCATCAAAAACAGATAGTCAGACATCTGTGATGCACACTCCCAGTCCCAGTTCTGCAACCTCCTATGCTGTGGGATGAAGAGATCTATAAGCAGCAGCTCCTCACCTCCATTTTGCAGTTTGCTCTTCTTTTCTTTTTTCCTGCACCCCCTCTTCCACAGCAGGCTCCCAGGGAATGGAAAAATCAATTGAAAGCAGCTTCTCAGCTCCAGCCAGCTCACCATTTGTTGTCTTCACCCTTGCCCCCCAAACTCGCAACCCTATGTTTTCAAATTAGCATTACTGGGAAGTCAGACATGAGCCCACTGATGGAACAAAAGAGAGATTATTCCAGCAATGGCATTCTGAAACTAAACTGATTAAAGAAGAGAGGCTGAAGGAAGGGCAGGGTGGATCTTGAAGATTTTGCAGAAGGGAATAGATGATTCTCAAAGATGTTGAGAAACTGTAGCAGTACTGTGGTATCTCAAGTTAAGTACTTAATTCGTTCCGGAGGTCCGTTCTTAACCTGAAACTGTCCTTAACCTGAAGCACCACTTTAGCTATTGGGGCCGCTGCGCCGCCGCCGCACAATTTCTGTTCTCATCCTGAAGCAGAGTTCTTAACCTGAAGCACTATTTCTGGGTTAGCGGAGTCTGTAACCTGAAGCGTATGTAACCTGAAGCGTATGTAACCCGAGGTACCACTGTAATGGGATTCTGTGGATAAGGGAAGGAGACACAGGTTGCATTAAGATTCCAAGAGTAATGTTTGCATATCCCTCTTTGAATTTAATTAGGTTTATTTGTTAAGGGTCTGTGAATCACTCCGGCTTAATAGTGAGCTCATGTGTTTAGTGCCAAGAGAAATGGAACCAAAAGCGGGTTTCATTTTCCAAGTAGCCAGAGTTGCATTTTGCAGTAGGCAAACAGCCATTTCCCAGATAAGTCATAACATTTGTATCTGCAGTGTGGATTGTGGGTTCCCGGGTGTTACTGGTGCTTTGTGGGTGTCACTTGTGACATAGCTTTTCTTCCCTGCTCAACCACATTTTGTTAATTGCTCAGATATGCAGCACTATGTGTACATGTTTTGAAAGTTATTCTGAGGTTGTGAATTCCCCTGCTCCACCTTGCCAACTGTCTAATGCAGGCATGGCCAAACTTGGCCCTCCAACTGTTTTGGGACTACAACTCCCATCATCCCTAGCTAACAGGACTAGTGGTCAGGGATGATGGGAACTGTAGTCCCAAAACAGTTGGAGGGCCAGGTTTGGCCATGTCTGGCTAACATAACATCAACATTTAATCAAAGACTGTATTATTGGATGCTCTAGAACCCCAGCATTCAAACTCTCCATTTTTTGCTTAAATGTATTTACGTTCTTCCATAATTTAGGGAGGAGCAGTAGATTTCCTATGCTGCCTCTAACCCAATTCTATATTGCTGATCTCTATACTTGTATCATGGAAATTACCCTTATGTGCATCAGCTCATGCTCTGGAGTCCACCTCCAATGTTGCAGGAGCAGCAAAAAGCCATAAAGCCTACCAAAGAATAGTGGAAATGAGCTAGTGTTGTTTATATCAGAAAGGTAAATTCCATGTGGGTTCTGAAGCATGGGTGTGCCCTTTGTAAAAAGTGTATCTCATAAAGAACAGAAAAGTATACATCATTTTCTTCATGTACCCGCCTGTCTGTATAAACCTCAACACTATGCTATATTTATTTTGTGTGTTTTAACACTGTTCAGATCAACAGATTGCTAATTCCAATAGTTGTATAATTCTCTCCTCCCTCCACTTCCCAGGCAATCCATTACTGCACAGTCCAATGCTGGATCTGGACAGTGAAGTACGCTCCTCCTCACTTGGCCATCTCAGTCGGAGTGCTTCGCTGAAAAGAGGCAGCAGCAATCAGTCCAGTCGTGATGAAAGTAGGTGCTGAGATTTTATTTCTTGTTCTGCTTTTTGAGAAACCGGTGTTTCAGTTTGATGCTGGTGTGATGCCCTGATCATGTCTGCCTGCTTGCACAATGGGAATCTTTTTGTGCAACAGGAATTCTGGTTTCTCATCTCCCCCCCCCCACCCATGTGCCCCTAGAATCTGCTCTGGGGGATGCTCCACCCCTCTGAAGCAGATTATTGGGTTGTGGGGAGAAAGTTTGGTCGCGTAAGCAGATGCCTACTTTCTCAGTGCCCTTGTTTTTTATCCTTTTTGTCCTTTTGAAAACAGCTTAGAGGTTTTCTTACAATCAAGTATACATACATTATGTTAAATAAATCCATGAATCAGGAAGTTTTCCTGGCTTATTTCTCACCTCTTCCATAAATTCACTAGGTGTCTTTAAGCAGCCCATACTGTTTATGCCATTTCCTGCAATTTCATCCTCAGACTTCAGTTGTAAGGATTACCGTAGACTAATTTTGTGAAGTGGTTTGAATATTCTATAGAGCTATGTAGATTGATGATGGTGATTTTTTTCCCCTCTGCATCCTCACAGCATCCTTACAGTGTGCTGTCACCAGAACTTGAAACCTATGAGAAACTAATCAGATTATTTATTCTACCATGATGGAATCATGTGCCGGCCCCTCATAGCAGCATGTTTCTCAGATGGTTGTTAATCAGTTAAAATTCCTTCTTGATGTGAGCACCTCTGTAATTGCCTAAAGTTAAACTTGTAAAGCAGACGAATTCCGACTACAATTGAAAACAATTCCTTACCAATGATCCTTCAGTAGTTAACGGCTGATTTTGTTGCCCCTTTTCCAGCTTGGCGATTTAAAGCTCCTCAGCAGGTGGCATTTGTCGAAAAGCTAACAAAGCTTGTCGTAAGCCAGCTCCCCAACTTCTGGAAACTCTGGATTTCTTATGTGAATGGGAGCCTCTTTAGTGAGGTATGGCATTCAGTCTTTCCCATACTTTCAGCTGTATACAGTTGTTTGAGGGACATGACATCTTTCTCCAGGTTTCTTTTGTTTATGTATCAGTCATGCTTTGTGCTCTCTCAGTTCCCTCTTGCTAGCCAAAACAGATAATCCATTCCGTGAAGAGCCTTGGAACAGCCGGTCTGAGACTTGTCAATGCAACTGGATTGAAACTGCTTCCTTACACTCCTTGAGATCCAATATGTCTAGTGGTTAGAGTATCAAATTAGTCTGGGGATATTGAGGTTCATATCTCCCCAACCTCACTGAATGACCTCAAACAAAGCACTATTTCTCAGCCTGACCTATGTCTCAGGGCTCTTCTGAGGAAAGAATTGGTGGAGGAAAGGAGGGGGAAGCAGATCCAAGTATACTGCGTTGAGCGCTTGGGGAGAAAAGCAGAATATAAACCCAATACATAATAATAATGCCTTTTTTGTCTGGTTCTGCTGCAGACCAGCACCAGTGATTAGCAACACTGATCATCTGCCAAAGGTACAGGGAGGGCCCCTGCTACTCTGGCGTGCCTTCCCTCTCTTGATGGTGGGCATGGCGGAGGGGATTGGGTCCCTCTGTCCCCCTGCATGGCAGTCCTGACAACAGCTCCCCTCCATTACCTTATTTCCACTACCACACCGAAGATCAGCCACAACTGCCACTGACCCTGGATTTCTGTATGGCAGATGAGAGGGCTGAAAAGGAGGAGTTCTCATACCTATTAGAGGGGCATTAAACATTGTGCCCCCCAAACCTGGAGCCCCCCATCTTCTGAGAGGACGAGGGAAGGATCCTCCATTATTTTCCTCTAGTATGTTTGACTTCTGGACTTTCATATGCACCCAAAGTTCAACATCCAGGGCACTTCTGGGTGCCTTAAAACAAAGTCCACACTTAAGCAGGCAGGGAGAGAAACAGTTTGGGGTTTCATCCCACTTAGCCCATCATTTTTATGGCTGTTCTGAATTTCTGACAATTTACATCTAAAAGGACAGTTGAGCATAGACACTGAGGCACAAAGAAGAAGAAAAGAAAAAAAACCCCGCAGGGGCCTCATGTAGTCATGAAAGTGATGAGCAATGATTGAAAGGAAACGACCAGTAATAAAAGGAACTGTGATTTATTTTCTCGAAGTTATAAGGGTGATCTGTATTTCTTTAAAAACACATACGTTTTGGTTAGGGTTTTCAGTTTTTTTCAACAGAAGGTTTGTAGCTAAACGGAGACCCATTTCTGTCTACAGATTGAATCTGTACACAGAACTAACCGTTGGTACTTAACGCAGAGGTCAGTATAGGAAGGTTCTTAACTGTTCAGCAAAATCAGTGGTGGGTGGAAGGGAATCAGTAGCTTTGGTGCACCTTTACGTGTTTCTAGAATCTATAGGGTTAAGAGGGAGCAGAGGACATCTAATTTTAACTCTTTGCACGAAGATGGCGTCATCCATTGCCCTGTCTCATTCTCCCTCTGATCAGCCTATCTAGACTGAACAACACAGGAAGTAAGCAAAACAGGTTTAATGAATATTGAAAATTTGCAAGGTATACAGACAGGCCGAGTTGAATCAGCTTCCTATGTTTAGCAAATATTTAAATGGGGCAGTACATACTTAGGCTCATTCTTAGTAGGCAGTGTCTGAATATTACTTTAGAAAGTGGAAAGTATAAAAAGGGTTTTTTGTAGCTGACAGACTTGTCTCTGTATACCTGAATGTAATATAGGAAATGTGAACTCCATTACTGCCGTTTTAGTTTCACCCATATTAGAATCACTTTTTTAAAGTAAAAAAGAAATACAAGTTTTATCGTTTAAAATAATAAAATAATAAAGAGGCATTTTTCCAAACTCCAGTTTTGCAATCATCACTACTGTCCATGAGATGTCATTCACTTGTAACAATATGTGAAGGCTGTAATCCTGACCCCTGGACAGCAGCAGCAAGACTGGATAAAGTGCATCCACCGCTCTAGTTCTTGTGCAGGCCCAGGGCACAAGGTGGTGGTGGAGGAGCCAGGGAAAATACCCCTTCACTGTGGCAGCTTCCAAGCTAGCACAGTGAAGAGTCCTAGATTGGACCTGTTGCCATCACATGGTGGCAGCAGGGTCTGCACAAGTTCCAGCAGATCTGAGACACCCCATTGACTTCTGCATTGGGGTGCTCCTCTCCAGCAGAAGCCCTGGTTGTCTCCCGCTTGGACTACTGCTCTATGTGGGGCTACCTTTGAAGGTGCCTCAGAAACTACAACTAATCCAGAATGCAACAGCTAGACTGCTGACTGGGAGTAGCCACGGGGACCATATAACACCAGTCCTAAAGGATCTTCACTGGCTCCCAGTACGTTTCTGAGCACAATTCAAAGTGTTGGTGCTGACCTTTAAAGCCCTAATCCAGGCATCCTCAAACTCGGCCCTCCAGATGTTTTGGGACTACAACTCCCATCATCCCTAGCTAACAGGACCAGTGGTCAGGGATGATGGGAATTGTAGTCCCAAACATAGCTGTCAACTTCTCCCTTTTCTTGCGAGGAATCCTATTCAGAATAAGGGAATTTCCCTTAAAAAAAGGAAAACGTTGACAGCTATGGTCCCAAAACATCTGGTGGGCCGAGTTTGGGGGTGCCTGCCCTAAAGAGCCTCGGCCCAGTATACCTGAAGGAGTGTCTCCACCCCCATCATTCAGCCCAGACACTGAGGTCCTTCTGGTGGTTCCCTCACTGTGAGAAGCAAAGTTACAGAGAACCAGGCAGAGGGCCTTCTCAGTAGTGGCACCCTCCCTGTGGAAGGCACTCCCTTCAGATGTCAAGGAGATAAAGAATTACACAACTTCTAGGAGACATCTGAAGGCAGTCCTGTATTGGGAGGTTTTAAATGCTTGATGTTTTTATTTTGTTTTTAGATATGCTGTAAGCCGCCCAGAGTGGCTATGGAAACCTACTGCTACTACTATTACTACTACTACACTACTACATTAGTCTTATTTGATTTATTAATTTGCCAAAGTTTTCTGGCATGTTGATATGTTTGATCTAAGCATGAATTTCTACTGTTTCTTAAACTAATCAGACTTTGTCTATTAAGAATTAACCTGAACATATAACATTACTAAGATAGAATTCATAGACCTGCTGATTTGTTCCAGGCGAATATTTGCAATGGCCATCAGCCGTAGTATCTCTGTTGTTGTTTTTCTGTTTCCCAAGACTGCCGAAAAATCAGGCCAAATGGAAAGATCAAAGAAGAACGCTAGACAAAGACAGAATGATTTCAAGGTAAGTAGGTGTGCAGCCACCCAAAGTGGAAGGGTGTAAAACCTTTGAAGACCAGCAGAGGTTTATTTTTAATAATATTTTGTAATGGGATGGCCTAATAAGACATACAGTCCTCAGTGCACTCATGCTGCTACCACTCAATCAAGAAGATACTGGTTTTAAAGCTCTATGAGCTCTCCATCCTTACTGGGCCTAGCACCATGCTTCAACCATTTGTTTGCCCTTCAGATAGCTGGTGCAATTAGGCAGGGCAGGAAATGGCTCTCTCTGATGTGGCAGACCTGCAGTAGATTCTCTGGACATTCACATATTATTCTCATAATATCCTTTGCATTGTCTATTGCACATTAGGTATAAGTTAAATAAAATTGGAGGAGAGTGGGAAATTAACAGGAGAAACCCCATTTATTGTCTGCTGTTGTTTTAGTTGATACATGCATTGAACTAGAAATAAGTAGAACAATTTAGCAGTTAACTCACCATGAATGTCTCCCCTGTTCTCTTTTAATGGCAATGGTACTGACCTGAGAGGTGCCAGAACTGAGTTCCAGTGACTTCCATCTGAAAAAAGCCCTGGTCTTATGAATTAACTGGTTACATAAAACACAACATGTTACACGTGTTCCGGTGTTTATCCACGAAATGTTTCCTTTTCCTGTTGTAGATGATGATTCAGCAAGTGATGAAGTCCCTGGTCAAACTGATCCGTGGTGCTTTGCTTCCGTTCAGCCTTGGAGAAAGTGAACTGAGAGAATATGGTGGCTGGGAGATGAAATCTGAACTTTCTGGCCAATGGTTACCTCATGTCATCCAGACAGTTAGGTAAGTACTATGGTAACTCACTAGAACACCTGTGTGCATTGGGATAAGTGGCTAGGGTTTAAGCTTTGGTAAGCTCTGTTCTCTGACACAGTCGTGGGTCCTGTGTGAAGCCAAACAATTGGGAGTCATGGTGTTATGACAGCTTGGCCCTGATCCAGATCAACAACCCAGGGAAATGGATGGCTGAGACACAGAGAGCAAAGGCAAGAAGGTGTAAACAGTATTTAAGCAGTGCAACTATCCAGGTGTCTGCTCAGTACCTTTACTGGAGTAGATTGCTGACAAATTGCATTTATAGAAATTATGGCAAATGGGAAGCACTCAAAAGATGGAATCAGGCATCAGCTTGTTAGCTGGGGGTGGGGAGAAGATGGATTTATAGCATTGCCAAGCAACCGTGACAAAAAAACAAAACAAAACCAGAGTGTGTTATCAAAGCATCAGTATTGTCACCTCTAGGCTTCTTGGGACCACACACAAATAAGGAGAAAATATTTATTTATTTAGAATGCTTAAATATTAGTTTATAGCTCCGGAACACAATCAAAACAGCTCTTAAAAGTTCTTCAAGTGATTCTACCCAAACAGGAATGGAAATTGTTACGTCCATATGAAGCCAGGGTGGAATCTACACACATATAAAAACACTGTGAAAATGCTTTTTTAAAAAAAGGTTTTGAAAAATACATTGAATTTTACATAGCTCTGTATCGCCATCTAGTGTCACATTTGTATATTGCACTTAAAGCTTGTACAGGTATAACACACTTAAAGCTTCCTATTTGCAGCTGTATAGCTGAGTCCCAGGATTATTCAGACAGCATTTCCTGAATGATCCTTGTTCTTCCCTGTTGTCATCCAGGTAACTGCTCCCACTGAGATCCTCTAATCCAAAGGAAAGGAGTTGAGCAGCTAGAAGTTGCTCAGCTCTGTGATGGAGGCAAATCTTCCATTGCTCCCAGGCAACAGCAGCTGCTTAGGTCTTCTAAGGCAAGGAAGGGGAGCTTAGCAGCTGGATCACACACTGTCCGAGATTGAAGTGGCCTCCCTTTGTCAGCAGTTGGTAGTGCAGAGTGTATTGAGTTTGAGAATGGAATTCAGTACCCAGTACAGATGAATAATGATTGCATAGTGGCTCTCACAGAAAAGAGGGAGGTGCTGTGATTTTGTTATTTTATTTAAGCCTACTTCTCTTCAAATCTTAGGGGTCTCAAGAAATTATGACTCCCCTTAGCATCTGAACTACATCAAAAACTATAACTTCACATTATTTTCCCCATTCTCCAGGCTTAGTTATGAATCTCTTGCTGCGCTTGAAATACCAAATGATATGCTTCAGATCATCCAGGATCTTATTTTGGATCTCAGAGTTCGCTGTATAATGATCACATTACAGCATACAGCTGAAGGTAGTAAAATACACTTTATTTATCTGTCTTGTTGGGTGTATAACACGAGTGTCCTTCTGGTTGGATTTCCCCCCTAAATTTTGTTATCCTCTTTGTGATTTTTACCTTCATGTATGTCAAGCATACCATTCAATGCTCTTATTTTCAAGTGTTTTAGTAAACTGGGTGTATGGCTGTGTCATCATATTACAAGTAGAAATGACAATTCAGCAAAGGATTACAAGTATCGGTCTTCGCAACAGTCATTTTCACACTTGTGGATTCAATATGCTGCATTAGTGTTGTATCATAAAACAATTATTTCACACATAATCTCTGTGACACAGCATGGTTTATATCCAACCTGTTACATGCCTATAATTAGCTGACTTGCCTTGCTGTAAGCATGTTTGATGCGTAATAAAGCTGCTTCCATCCTTTTAAGGTACCAGCGGCAATGTATTTGGATGACAAATCACTACAGTAATAGACAGAGGGCTTTCCTCATTTTTAATTTTTTTTTAATAGAAAAATAACCATCCAAACATTTGTCACCTTTTGCAGATGTAAAGAGATTAGCTGAAAAAGAAGACTGGGTGGTGGACAATGAAGGCTTAACCAGTTTGGTGGGTATGCTGCTATGTCTTTAGGCATCCGTATTGAATAATGGATTCTGTATCTAAGTCCAACTCCTTGCTCACTATGAAACTGGCTGGGGGGTCTTGGGCCTAGTCTTCGTTTCAGCCTAATATACTTCAATGGGTGAGTTATGAGGATATAGTAGCTTAACCCCATTCATGAGTTGCTAGTGAAAAGTAGCCTCATTTCTTCTCACTCTTCTGTGAAAATCCCACCCTTTTCTATCCCCTCATACCAGTGAAAACTCTGATACATGCCCTAGTCATCTTGTCCTGATAAGCCAGGATCAATGTTAACAAATGCAATTACATTTATTTGAATTTATACATATATCAGTATATGGAGAGCTAGTAAAATATAGTGGCATATCAGACTAGGATCAAGTTCCCACTCAGTCTTGAAGCTTGCTGTGTTACTATTTCTCAGCCTGCAATTCATTAAGGGGAGAAGAGAGCCCTGTATTGTTAACTGGATAGGTTGGGTATTTTTAATAATGAGATCACAAATGGTCAGCAGCATTGACTTCCAGTTAACATGGCACTATAGCTGTTAGACAATATAACGAGCATATAAATCCCTGTATGGTCTGACTGGACATTGAGAGCGGGAGCTTTAAATAGATGGTTGATTGGAAACCAGGACTGTTCCACTGCAGTCATGATTTCTAGGTTTCAGAAGTAATTTCTTGTTTATTCTCTACCTTTTAGCCATCCCAGTTTGAGCAGTGTATTGTGCATTCTCTGCAGTCGCTTAAAGGTGTCCTGGACTGCAAACCTGGAGAGACCAGCGTAAGTCATGTCAGGTCGTGTTTGGGGAAATTCAAGGGTATGAATAGCATGATGGACACTGAAATCATCTCAACCTCTTACGTATATAGAACAATAATCTGTTCCTTACACACTCCTCAGGATAAATGGAAGGGTTTACAGTGGTGCCTCGGAAGACGAAAATAATCCGTTCCGCGAGTCTCTTCGTCTAGCGGTTTTATCGTCTTGCGAAGCAACCCTATTAGCGGCTTAGCGGATTAGCGCTATTAGCGGTTTAGCGGATTAGCGGCTATTAAAGGCTTAGCGGCTTAGCGGCTAAAAGGCTATTAGCGGCTTAGAAAAAGGGGGGGGAAGCGAAAAAAATCGCAAGACTCGCAAGATGTTTTCATCTTGCAAAGCAAGCCCATAGGGAAATTCGTCTTGCGAAGCGCATCGAAAAACGGAAAACCCTTTCGTCTAGCGGGTTTTTCGTCTTGCGAGGCATTCGTCTTGCGGGGCACCACTGTATAAGGAATTCCTAATAATGCTATTCAGATAAGTAAAGAGGTTATTCAAATACTATTTGTAGTGCAACACTGCATCATATAAACAATGGTAATGCTGGAAAAATGACATTAGCATTGCTCTTCCCATATAACTTCCACCCTGTCTTTGCATTTTCTTCATTCTAACATAACCAGGAATGGCATGAGATAGAGCGAAGAGGAAGTTCTAAGTCTGGCCTTAAGATTTTACTGTTCTACTCTATCACCATAATATGCTGTCCTCATGTTTTTGTCTTATTAATTTAAAAGGTTTTTTTTGCCTGCTTGCTTTTTTCAGTTACCATTTTCTGTTTCTTTAGCTTTTTCAGCATCCAAAAATACAGGAAGAGGTGTGCCGACTGAGCACTGATATTATGCAGGTAATAAAAACATGTGGCTTAAGTCAGTTCTCTAAGCAGTAAATGTGTGTCTTTTGAATTCTACATACTTGAGAAATCGAGGAGATCATTTGCTTTTCATACATTTAGCATTTAGTCTAATTCAGTTAGGGGTGGGTTAGAGGGTTCAAGAGTAGGTAGCTCAGAATGTGAACTCTTCCCTCTCAAATATGAGTTTGTGTTGTGCGAAGCTCCCTTAGAGCTAGTCCTGACTCAGAATTGCATGCACCCTGCCTCTTCCATGTACAACTGGAGATCATGAGTAAGAGGGAGGCCTGGCTGCAAATGACCAAGCCATGTAGCTGAACAGAGGGGTCTGAACTGAGGCCTGCAGATTTGAGAGAGGGAAGAGTTCACATTTCAGATACACAAATACACAACTGCTTTGTGCAACCAAGAAGAGTGTGTGCTATTTAAAGCCTGCTTCAGGATTAAACAACTTCTTCCACCGATTTCTTCCTGCAAGTCTATCCTCCATCTGCATTTGCCTTTTGAAGAAAAGACAGAGCTGGGGTGTGTTTTCCTCATAATGTGTAGTTCCTTCTTTTAGCAACAGACACAACTGAAACATGAAGAACTGCAACCATTGGTACAGGCATCCACTTATTATAAAAGTGTGGGTTTGTTGTCGTAGATTATACTTTCTATTAGTTTAATTTCAACTCTCAAGTGGAGAGGTCTGAGTAATAAAATACAAAAACTGTGATGACACAGGCCATTAAAATTTGGTTAAATTGCAGGTTGTGAGAGTGAAGGGGGGAAATGCTATGAATATGCGGTTTGAGAGTTTACCATTGGCTAATGATGTTCCTAATAGTCAAAGTAGTGATGTTAAATAGTGATTCCCCCCTCCGTTCATTCTTCACAGGTATTCATTGACTGCCTGGAACAGCTAAGTACCAAGCCTGATAGTGATGTAGATAATGCACAGTAAGTAAAATAATCTGGTCGGGGTCTTTTTGGCAGTAATCCGTGTGCTACTTATTCCAAAGTTCAACAAGTGGTTTCTGGTTGCGTTACTGCAGGCTTCCTCAACCTCTGCCCTCCAGATGTTTTGGCCTACAACTCCCATGATCCCTAGCTAGCAGGACCAGTGGTCAGGGATGATGGGAATTGTAGTCTCAAAACATCTGGAGGGCCGAGGTGGAGGAAGCCTGCATTACTGGTTGATGTGCATGCAAAGAGTAGAATACCATTTCCCCATGGAGAAGGGTGCCATGCTTTTCATTAAGGGAAATCATCTGAGGCAGAGTTCCTGCTCATTCCCTCATTGTCTCTCAACTGCCAACACTAAAGCATATCTATTCAGCAGCATCTTTAGCTAGTCTTAGTTTATTGGTATTCTTCCAGTGTTCTGGTTCTTGTTTTTGGAGTTGTTTCTATGGTGTTTTTTTAATTTAGATATTATGTTTCTGAACAAAAGACTTTAAAATGATGGCTTAGGCCAGAGATGGCAAACCTGTAGTCCTCCGGATTGTTATTGTATGACAACTTCCATCATTCATGGCTGTTGGCTATGCCTGCTGGAGAAAATGACAATTTAAATCTGGAGGGCCACATGTTTCCAGTCCATGACTTAGGCCGAGATTGTTCATGAGCTGTTAACTCCAGAGGTCCCATTGTATTCCAGCCATACTCCAAAAGGTCTAAGTCAGGCATGTCCAAAGTCTGTTTCAGGGGCCTAATCTGGCCCGCCAGTCAATCTTATCCCCGTGGCAGTATATGTCCTGGGGTAAAATCCTAAAAGAAGCTCGGCAACTTTGGGTTAAAATTGTAAAAAAAAAAAAAGCTCAACTTCAATCCAAAAAAAATCAACAACCTTGGTCGGCCCTCATGCGTGTTCACTTCATCAATTCCGGCCCTCCTTGAAAAAAGTTTGGGCATCCCTGGTCTAAGTGCATAATACTGTTAAACAGAATCATTCCTTCCTTGGGAGCTGCAGTTCTGTGAGGGAGGTTAAGAATTCTTACAGACCATTCTCAGCACCTTTTCTGAACTACAGGTTCTTCTTTGTAGGAGAAGTATAGGGGGTATGTCTTTATATTTGAAATAAGGCCTAGCTCACTCCCCACCCACTGAAAGAGTGGGAACAGAAGATTCCTACAGATGCTGCCTCAGTGACAGTGAAGAAGAAGAAACTGAACAGGACGGTGAGAACCCATGCCCTTTGAGGTGTGGGAGCAGGCTTCCTTCCAAAACCTTTTATCACCAAGCTCTTAAAAGTTCTTTAACGGGGCTTTGCATGGGCATAGATCCCTTACTGCATAGATAAAATCTGACTTCACAGATGACCACTTGCAACAACCGCAGTTACAAATAGGCAACCTGTTTTTCTTTGGGTTTAAGTGGTGTAAACCCAATTTGAGTTAGTAACGTAGAGATACATTCTTAAGTGTTTAGAACAAGTACTTCACCAGTAACTTTTTACAAAATCTTTCAGTCTTTCAGCTGATGTTTCATCTTCAGATTTATTTGGAAGTATCCATGAAGACTCCAGTTTGTCTTTGGTAAGTGTGACTTACCTTTATGTACACATACGGGCAGAGTAATCCAAATGATAGGAAGCTAGCATCATATGCGCCAGTGTAAATTATGCTGGTGTAACAAAAAGCTGCATCACAATCCAGAAATCAAAGTTGTTAAAATTAAAGCAAAGGAATACTTACTAGGAATCGATGTGAGTGGTATCGCTCTTACCTTTTCTGAGCCCTTGATTCATCTACTTAAAAGTTGGTGTTGAGTCTGAATTGGTTACTGGCCTGAAGGTAGATTTAAAAATAAATAAATAATCAGAATCCCATGTCTTTTCATATCGCTCCCAAGATCCAAAAGGAGTTCTCCATGTTATTAAATTTTCAGGTGCATTATTTCTCAGTCAGGTATTTGGGCATACATAGAACTAAAATCTAAATACAGTGGTACCTCAGGTTAAGTTAATTCGTTCCGGAGGTCCATTCTTAACCTGAAGCACCACTTTAGCTAATGGGGCCTCCCGCTGCCGCTGCGCCGCCGCCATGTGATTTCTGTTCTCATCCTGAAGCAAAGTTCTTAACCCGAGGTACTATTTCTGGGTTAGCGGAGTCTGTAACCTGAAGCGTATGTAACCAGAGGTACCACTGTATGTATTTTTTTCATCATTAAGTATGGCCTTGTGTGGGATCAAATATATAAGGCTTTGTCCGGGTGGAAGCTAAATGTTGCTATTATGGACAGATTAGTTGCAATTAAGATGAAAGCACTATCGAAAATTCTATTTATGTTCCGAACTCCCCTATTTAGACCTCTGGTAAACAGCTTCAGTTATGGCAAAGAGAGATTAGCAGTACATTTTGAGGAGTTAAAAATGGCCTCTACCTTATGGAAGTGGTAGCCAAATAGCAATGATACAGAAACTCCACTGCCCACTCAAGGACAGGTAGGCAGTGTTGCAGCAAAAATCTCATGGTTGGGGACAGTGCTGTATAACCTATGCAAATAGGTTGGCAATTCATCTGAATACTGTGTTTTGTGCCCATGTTAAGGTTACACTTGTCTTTCAGAATATTCTATTTTAAAGTCTCAGTATTGCCCCATGGTCATAATTTGTAACCTTAGCCTGATTTCTGTCTTAAATAACAATTGCTTTCTTAGCAAAATTGTTTACCTGTGTGCCTCTCTTGTACCGTTAATTCATTTTTCTTGTTGAAATCCTCCTTGATTTAGGAGCGGAGACTTTTAATTGTGCTTAGCAACTGCTGCTATCTAGAACGTCACACTTTCCTAAACCTAGCTGAACACTTTGAGAAACATGGCTTCCAAGGAGCTGAAAAAATCACTCAAGTAAGTATTTGATCTCAATTCTTTCAGTCTCAGTTTTCAGTAGGCTTCCAAAATAAATTATAAATAAGATTAGCACCACTGAATAGAAATTTAATCTGCAGTTGCTCAGAAGCATATATGCTGTAGTTTCTACATCTTGTTCCTAAACTCTATTTATTTTTAAATCTAGAGAATTTGGTTTTGTTGTTGTTTTTAACTATAATAATAATAATTATTATTATTATTTATTTATTTATTTATTTATTTATTTATACCCCGCCCATCTGGCTGGGCTTCCCCAGCCACTATGGGTGGCTTCCAAAAAAATATTAAAATACTATAATACATCAAACATTAAAAGCTTCCCTAAACAGATTGTTTACATTGTTACCAAGTTGTTTTTTGAAGTACTCAGTCAGATTTCATATCTGGAACTTAAAACTTTAGATTTTTTTGAGTCTTTAGGACTCAAAATCATACTATATAGACATCTGTGATGTTACAATTTTGTCATTACTTATTATTCCCATTCTTGTTTCAGCACAGCTTCACCTGAATTGAATATAATAAGGCTTTGATGCATATCATCCATAAGTGCCCAGTCCAACATACTTTTAATTTTGCCCTTTGGTTGTCACAAATTTATTCCCGGTGCCTTCAGGCTGGGGAAGTATTGGCGCCAATGTCCTCTGTTGTGCATTTTGTGAGCCTCCCTGTAAAGGGATTTCTTGGCTGCTCATCATCTTACTACCAAATTCCTGGGTCTTCACTCAGTCAGGTTTCTATAAAAAGAAGAGAAATCAATAGGTAGAAGCTTTTCCGCTTATCCTAGCAGACAGGACAACATCTCAGTCCAAGTGAACGATTAAGGAATATATACTATTCTGGCTGGCAAAATATACCATCCATCTGACTTTGAGGAATCTGCCAGCTTCTTATGAAGCTTCTTGGCTCTTCGTTCATTTTTTTAAACAGAAATATTGACTTCCAAAATATACATTGTGTAACATTATAAAAGTATTAGATGCCTGGCTTTTTTTAGTAAATGAGAGGAGATTTACACACAATAATACTATTGTAAATAATCATATTTGTACCTTTTTGTTTTAGGTTAGCATGGACTCACTAAAAGAACTTGATCAACGACTGTTTGAAATGTACATTGAACTAAAGGCTGATCCAATAGTAGGCTCATTGGAACCTGGCATTTATGCAGGTTATTTTGATTGGAAAGACTGTCTTCCTCCAACAGGTAGGAATCTTTAAGCCTCTGAAACTGTAGTAGAAACAGATATGATTTTTTAAAAAAATAAAAAAAATTATGTATCACTACTTAAAGCATTTTTCCTTCAGTGGATCCATTGTATATAATTCTTAGAATGCTTTTCAAATAACCCATATAATTATAGCATCTTCTATCAGTGCTAATCTCTCTGAATTGTTGTTTTTGTTATCATCCACCTTCATTTTTCATACATTTTTGAATAGTTATGAAAAACAAATTTGCTGTTTTTTTTTACAAATCCATTATATAAAATCTGGTCACTTGTGTATGATACCAGAATGCCATTGTGTAAGAAAATGTGTGAGAATAGCACTTTTAAGGGAAGCTTGACCTGACCCACTCCCTCAGATGATAAAAGAAACTGGTATAAACGTGTTTAAGTATAAAATATGTAATGGGTGTTATTTTCAGTATTATTATTTTTTAAAGCTCCCTATTCATCAAAGCATATATTTAACAAGCAAATTATCTCTGCCTACTTAGAATTGAGTTTCGTTTAAAAATATAAACACTCAAGGATCTTAAAAGTTATTTAAAGTTTGGTACGTTGTAGTCTAGTGATAGCATCCTCCCAGTCTGGGCGCATGCTGAGGCATGCCTGAAGTTCCTGCAGCTACCACTGTGTGGCAGCAGGGAGCAGGAGACTGTGAAGCAGGAACAGTGTAATGTGCCAGAACCAGCCTGCAACTTCTGTGCAGTTTTGCCCATCGTGCTGATCCTGCTATTGCCATGAACTTCAGGAATCCTGAAAGTTGCTACATTGGTGGATCTCTCAGTGCGGTTCCTCCTCTCACAATGTTAGCTAATGCCATTCTCAGTTTGCAGTGATATTTTTTAGGCTTCAGTTTTGTCCCCACTTACTTAGGAGTAAGCCCCATTCAGCAGATCAATAGTTTCTCCCAAGGAAACAGGGATGGGGTGAGGCTGCACATGTTATGAAACTGAGTGTTCCAGAGTGTCCAATAAGCATCTCTCTGGTCAAGATACTTGGGCCGACATTGATTTGAAGGCTTGCTGAGTACACATTGACTTCCTGCCTCAGACACAGGAACCTATTGAGTGCTATCTGGCATTGCACAGGAAGCTTGCTACTGGAAGTAGATTTTTCCTCCAAAATCTACATATGTTCATTGAGGCACATGTACACAGGACTCTTGAAATAACGTATCACTTTTTACCTCCTTTCTACATCCATTGTCCACACTAATTTTCAAGCATATCCAATATAACATAACTTAAATGTCTACAGGCATTTAAGTCGTGCTTTGCTGAAAGTGGTGGCAAGAGTCAAGATGTGTGAAGGTTTGTGTATGCATATGAACCGCTTGATTACTCAGTACTTTCGGACGTGCCGCTGCTGTCCTTGATCAAATGAAGTGTGGTACATCTGTATTTCGCTTTCTGCAGTAGAGCTTCAGTGTTTGACCTAGATTAGATGGCATACTTAAATCCATAGCAAACTGTTGCCTGGCTAAGTAGGGCTTAGGAACTGTTGCCACAGATGGTACCATGGGCTGAGCATTGGGAATAGACCAAGGAAACAGAAAATCAGATCCCTTTTCAGCTATGACACTTAGGGTTGTATTCAGTGAAACCATTGTGCTAGTGAAAGCCAGTACAATGATCCCCGCTAGTGTTACAGGATATTAACAGAACTGTTTTTCAAATACAAATTAATGTTAATTGTAAAAACAAATGAAGTCCTTATAGACACCAAAGTCTGAAAGACTTAAAGTAAAAGTGTTTATTACTTGAGACGTCTCCGGGGAAACCTTTTTTCTCTCTTTAGGATATTGCCCCTGCATCTGCTGAAGTAGCTTTTACCTATGAAATTTTATGTCAGAAATGTGTTAGTGTTTTAAAATACCACATAGCTATTTCCCCCCTTTTTACTTATAGACAGTTTTCAGATCGGTATACAAAATCTGATGCAATCAGGTATCGAGGGAATCAACATACTGGAAAGCAAAAGGGAGGACAGAAGAATAGGGGTGAAAATTGTCATACGGTTAGCAGGAGTTCTTGGACAGACTTATGTGAATATTTCAGTAAGTTGTAAGATGAGTTCATTCTAATAGTAAATTTGTGATCTGTGATAAGGAGTTGTTATTTCTCACTTGCCTATAATTACTAAGCACTGTGAACGGATTAAGAACAAGACTGTCCCTGCCCTCTGGTTTTCAGTCTAAAAGTGAAGACCCCCAAAGGAAAAAGTAATGGAGACAAAAGAGAGAAACTTGTAAACTGTGGCATCAATCCTTTAAGTTGTTTAGGAATGACCAGCTTGATTGCAAAAGGTTCAGAAAGGTGAGGATGGATGCAGTTGAGAGAGAGAAGGAGCCAAATGGCAGTTGATCAGTTACCTAGTTAATACAGTAGGATCTGATTTGTGTCACCTTTTTCATAAGAAATTTGATGTGCAAGTTTGTTCTCCATGGTGATGTTTGTCCCAGAGTCCCTTATGCACACATTGGTATGGTCATCGACTTCCAGTGACATGCCACTGTTGCTCTAACTGTTACCAAGAGATTTAGAATCGGAAATAATAATGTTGGTTGGTTGGTTGGTTGGTTGGTTGGTTGGTTTGTATACCCCACCCTTCTGAGTGGGTCGCCCCAGCCACTCTGGGCAGCTTCCAACAAAAATACAGGAAAAAACCCAACACCAACATTTTGAATTGTGCTTGGAAACATACTGCAAGCCAATGTAGATCTTTTAGGACCAGTGTTATGTGGTCCCGGCGGCCACTCCTAGTCATCAGTCTAGCAGCTGCATTCTGGATTAATTGTAGTTTCCAAGTTATCTTCTACAAGGTAGCCCCATGTAGAACGCATTGCAGTCGTTCTTGAATAATATGTGGTTTTGCTCTGACAGGCAACATACCCAGAGGTGCTAGGCAAGGGATGGCAAGATGGATGGTTTAGTGCCTGTCACTGAGCCAACACTTTGTTTTAGAAACTTGACACAACAGGGTACCCTGAACTTTACAACTCCTGTACCTGTCATTTAAATTGGGTTTACTGGGCATTTGAGCTTTCATTGCCACCAAATCTCATCCTTAAAAGGGTACGCCTTGCACCTTTCCACTGATAAGATTTCTGTGGACAGGAGAGGGGGATTTAATCCCGTAAATATAAAATTGTGTAGGGTTGCCATATTTCTAAAAGTGAAAATCTAGATAGAATTGTTGACGGTTTCTTTTTTTGCATTTTTTTGGGGGGGTAGACCCTGCCACCTTCTCATAGCTTGCCTGATTTTGAGAAGGCAGTGTAAGGGCTCTTGGATGCTTCCGCAGCCCTGGCACTGCTTTTCCAAAGCTCTATGGAAGCCCTCTGAGGTAGGGAGGAGTCTGGAAAGCAAAGAAAGGCAGAGAATGGAAGAAGGAGATGGATCCTGGCAGAGGGAAAGAGGAAAGGAAAGGAAGAGGGTCCAGAGGAGGAGGAGGGGGTCATCCAGACATGAGGCAGGAGGCAAAGGACTGAAAAAGCCATGCAATGGAGAGAGGCTGGGATGGGGGCAAGGGAATGTAGCAGTAGAGAAAGCGAGGGCGAGCATCAGAAATCACAGCAAGAGGAAAACACTTTAAAAGCAACTTAAAATATGCACGAGTTTTGCCATCCCAGCAACCCTATGTGTGTGGGATGCCATTATAATTTTCATTTTACAGACTGAGAACAACATGATAACTGGTGACTTGCCCAAGGCCACATGGGTTTGGTGCTGTATCCACAAGAGAGACAGAACCATAAATGGTTGAAACTGTTATAGGTGAGGAGGAACCTAAGAACAAGTCTTTCTGCTCAGATCCATTTGGCACTGATTCTGCTTAGGGCCAGCCAGTCAGTATGAGTCCTGGTGGCTCAGAGATGCACAGAGCAGTGGCATAACTATACCATTGCATGTGCAGCTTGCTAATGGCATGCGGCCAAGCAACCCTAGCACCCACAGAAAGGAACACAATGCTTTACTATGAAGTCTCACAAATCATATGAACATACCTGTAGTGCAAGGGGCATTGCTTTCTCCCAAACCAAGCTTCACTGCACTGCCATCTCAACAGTTTCTCAATCTCTAGGATCAATAGTGGGCAAAGACTGTGAAATTTTGGTCTTATGGCAGTCCCCTGCTTACAAAAAATATACTAGGCTTAACCACCATAACTCAGAAATTTTTGAGAGGTGATGAGTAAGAAAAGAAGACAGAATATAATATTCTTTCATTTTGAGGTCACGTTTATTTGGAACTTAAGTTCCTTCTTTCATTATGTGTGCTAATATAATACTGGTTGTTTAAACCCTTCTATCTAAGATTTAAAATGTTGTGTAAATATATAACCCTTGCTTTTATTAGCAGGCAGTTGCATGGGCCCAGGGATGTACAGTTACCTTCCAGGTATTGACTAAACACTTCACCAAGGTTTTTATTTTATTTTATATTCTTTATTGAAAAACAAAAAGTACAAAATTACAAGTGCACAGGGTAAGAAAAGACACAAAAAGAAGAAGAAACAACAACAACAACAACAACAACAATAATAATAATTTATTATTTGTACCCTGCCCATCTGACTGGGTTTTCCCAGCCACTCTGGGCGGCTTCCATAGAAACCAAAAATACACTAAAATATCACACATTAAAAACTTCCCTAAACAGGGCTGCCTTAAGATGTCTTCTGAATGTCAGGTAGTTATTTATCGCTTTGACATCTGATGGGAGGGCGTTCCACAGGGTGGGCGCCACTACCGAGAAGGCCCTCTGCCTGGTTCCCTGTAGCTTTGCTTCTCACAATGAGGGAACAGCCAGAAGGCCCTCGGCGCTGGACCTCAGCGTCCGGGCAGAACGATGGGGGTGGAGACACTACTTCAGGTATACTGGGTCGAGGCTGTTTAGGGCTTTAAAGGTCAACACCAGCACTTTGAATTGTGCTCGGAAACGTACTGGGAGCCAATGTAGGTCTTTCAAGACCGGTGTTATGTGGTCTCGGTAGCCGCCCCCAGTCACCAGTCTAGCTGCCGCATTCTGGATTAGTTGTAGTTTCCGAGTCACCTTCAAAGGTAGCCCCACGTAGAGCGCATTGCAGTAGTCCAAGCGGGAGATAACTAGAGCATGCACCACTCTGGCGAGACAGTCCGCGGGCAGGTAGGATCTCAGCCTGTGTACCAGGTGGAGTTGGTAGACAGCTGCCCTGGATACAGAATTGACCTGCGCCTCCATGGACAGCTGTGAGTCCAAAATGACTCCCAGGCTGCGCACCTGGTCCTTCAGGGGCACAGTTACCCTATTCAGGACCAGGGAGTCCTCCACACCAGCCCGCCCCATGTCCCCCAAAAACAGTACTTCTGTCTTGTCAGGATTCAACTTAAATCCATTAGCCGCCATCCATCCTCCAACCGCCTCCAGGCACTCACACAGGACCTTCACCGCCTTCACTGGTTCTGATTTGAAAGAGAGGTACAGCTGGGTATCATCTGCATATTGATGGACACCCAGTCCAAACCCCCTGATGATCTCTCCCAGCGGCTTCATATAGATGTTAAAAAGCATGGGGGAGAGGACGGAACCCTGAGGCACCCCACAAGTGAGGGCCCAGGGGTCTGAACACTCATCTCCCACCACCACTTTTTGAGCACGGCCCAGGAGGAAGGAGCGAAACCACTGTATAACAGTGCCCCCAGCTCCCAGCCCCTCTAGACGGTCCAGAAGGATGTTATGGTCGATTGTATCAAAGGCCGCTGAGAGATCCAGCAAAACTAGGAAACAACTCTCACCTTTGTCCCTAGCTCGCCGGAGATCATCAACCAGCGCGACCAAGGCAGTTTCAGTCCCATGATGAGACCTGAATCCCGATTGGAAGGGATCCAAATGGTCCGCATCCTCCAGGCGTGCCTGGAGTTGTTCAGCAACCACGCGCTCAATCACCTTGCCCAAGAATGGAAGATTTGAGACTGGGCGATAGTTGGCCATACTGGCCGGGTCCAAAGATGGTTTTTAAGAAGCGGTTTAATGACCGCCTCTTTCAGCGGATCTGGGAATGTTCCCTCACAGAGGGAAGCATTCACCACCCCGCAGAGCCCATCGCCCAGCCCTTCCCGGCTTGCTTTTATTAGCCAGGATGGGCAAGGATCAAGGAGACAGGTGGTTGGTTTCACGCGTCCAAGCAGCCTGTCCACATCCTCGGGGGTAACGGATTGAAACTGATTCCATGCAACTTGACCAGACAGAGCTCTAGCACTCTCCCGCCCCAGCCCTGCTCCCACGGTGGTGTTTAGCTCCTTCCGAATATGAGTGATTTTATCTGCAAAAAACTTTGCAAAATCGTTGCAGGAGATCTTGGGGTCTTTACAAGGCCCCGGTGGTAAAGGTGGTTCCGTTAAATTGCGAACCACCTGAAAGAGTCCCCTGCTACTATTTTCTGCAGATGCAATAGAGGCGGTGAAGAAAGTCTTCTTCGCCGTCGCTATCGCCACTTGGTAGGCTCGACGTTGAGCTCTAACCTGTGTCCGGTCAGATTCGGAGTGAGTTTTCTGCCACCGATGCTCTAGGCATCTCAGCGATTGTTTCATTGCCCTCAGCTCCGAAGAAAACCACGGGGCTGTCCAGGCTCCATGCAATCGGAGAGGGCGCTTTGGAGCCAGACAGTCGATAGCCCTGGTTAACTCTGCATTCCAGCGGGCCACCAGGGAATCAGCTGAAAGGCCATCAACATGGGATAAAGCATCCCCTACCACTTTCTGGAAACCATTTGGATCCATTAAGTGGGGGCGGACCATCCGAATTGGTCCCACCTCCCTGCAGAGGGGAAGGGTCGCGGAGAAGTCCAGTTGCACCAGGAAGTGATCTGACCATGGCACTTCTTTTGTTTCACTTTTACTTAGTGTCAGATCACCCACGTCACTAGAGGTGAACACCAGGTCTAAGGCATGTCCATGACTATGAGTTGGGCCAAACTTATTCAGGGACAGCCCCATGGAGGCCATGCTTTCCACGAAGACCCGAGCAGCCCCTTGTAAGGTCGTGTCGGCATGGATGTTAAAATCCCCTAGGACAACCAAACTAGGTGTCTCCAGGAGGAAGCAGCTCGGACAGGGAATCCTTGGTGCAGCGGGGAGGTCGGTACACCAAAAGGAATCCTGTACTGCCCCTATTGCCCAACTTCCAGAATATGCACTCAGAAAACTGGATCTTCCCAGTAGGACACCTGGTGCAAGCTAGTGACTTCCTAAAAATCACTGCAACCCCCCCTCCCCGCCCACATGACCTGGGTTGCTGTGCGTAAGAGAAACCTGGTGGGCAAGCAGCAGCAAGGACAAGCCCATCTGCTTCCTCCAACCAAGAAATAATAACCATGAAGAAAACAAAACAGAAAAGGATATTGTGTACCAAAAAAAGAGGGGAAATTGTTACTGTAGCTAACCAGACCTTAACCTAATATGGTGTTTATAGAAATGAATTCCAAATATTGTTAAATTTGTCCATGGCAAGTCTGTGTTGGTATGCAACTTGTCTGTGTGTAGCAAATTTGTACATATCTTCCAGTTCATCAAAACCAGTCATTTTGCCATAGGAAGGACGCAGAGAGTCCATTCATATTGTCGCTTTGTTAGATTGGGTATATAATTTTAAAGGGTGGTATGGGATGAAAAGGATAAAACGTACGGGTCAGATGCAGTGTCATAGACTTCCCCTGTGCAATCTTGGCCTACATATTTTCTCATTGCTTTCCACCCTGCCAGATAGAATAATAGTAGGGACGTGGGTGGCTCTGTGGTCTAAACCACTGATCTTGCCAATCAGAAGGTCGGCGGTTCGAATCACTGCGACAAGGTAAGCTCCCGTTGCTCTGTCCCAGCTCCTGCCAACCTAGCAGTTCAAAAGCATGCCCGTGCAAGTAGATAAATAGGTACCACTGCGGTGGGAAGGTAAACGGCATTTCCGTGCGCTCTGGCATTCGTCACAGTCCTCTGTGCGCCTGTAGCGGTTTGGTCGTGCTGGCTACATGACCCGGAAAGCTGTCTGTGGACAAACGCTGGCTCCCTCGACCTGAAAGTAAGGTGAGCACCACAACCCCATGGTCGCCTTTGACTGGACTTAACCGTCCAGGGGTCCTTTACCTTTACCTTTTTACCTAATACAATAGTCCATGCAGCTCTTCCCCATCCCACCTCCCAACTTGTAGGATGATTATGGTGCACAGAATCTGAAGACCTGCAGGCAAGTTGAGTCAAAAAGATTTTGTAGCAGAGCGGGGAGTATTGCACAGCTGCAAAACCTGATTGACCAGAGACAATAGCACCCTGATCTTCTGGGAAGCAGAGGTGAGATATAAATGCAAATAAATAAAATTAACAATTTACCTGTAGGCGATTACTTTTTTTTCCTGGATGGGCTACATTGAAGAGATTGCTAAGCTTGACGTTTTCCCCCATAAATAAAGAAATTGAAGCACAATCATAGCAGTGAACTCCTTTACTACAACAGAGTATTCTCAGGCACTCTTCAGTTTACAGAGTTGGGTTCACCAATAAGTTAAACTATGAAAACTGTTTATTGGTGGGCAACAGGAAAAGAACTTGGTTTGTTTTGGGGGTTTTTCCCCAACACGTGACTTTAGTAGCTTTCAACATAATGTTTTTCGATCCATAATTTTTTTGGTGGAGTTTTAGGTTTAAAAAAACCTTGGCTGGTGAATTGAATGTAAACCTTAGTCTGGAGCCAAGCTGTAATATTGGGAGATCGAATGATCCATTAACCAGTATAGCAGGGCCATTGTAATAGCAAACATTTCATTATTTTAAAATTTCTCTACACTCTGCTTAGCAATTTCAATTTAATGAAACACTTCACAATTTTATTAATGTTTGGATGAGATTAGAGCTCTGGACTTGTTCTGTAGCTTGGAGTGATTCAGAATTATTAAACCCCTAACTTTGAACTGTGAAAAATCTTCAGCTTTCCAGTTCTTTACTTCATTCATAAGGTTAGATAAGTTCCAAATGTTGAATTTTGAGCTGAGTGCCATAGCTCACACTAAAAAAACAAATCACTTTCCATTCTGCCACTCTCCCAAGTATATAAGATTATGGTTCATTTTGATGATGATTCTTTGGAAGTAGAAAATGAAGCGTGAACTGCTAAAAACATTTAAAGGTGTGTACTAGGAAAGTTTTGTAGTTTCCCTCTGAGTGGAGTAAATAGGAAGCTACTTAGAAACCATGTAGCACATAGTGTGTAAAAGTATCCCATTTTTATCCAAGTTTGCCAGTTCAATCCTTCTAAACTGCAATTTTGTCTTATTAACTTGTGGCATTTAATTAATTGTTTGCATCTCATTGGGCTCGCTATTAAAATCTTCAAACACATTGAGAGATGGCATTCTTTTCAGGAAGCATAATATCTGAACATGCATAATGAGATCTTAATAGGCTGCCAATGTTTGCACAGACTTTAATGCATGCATCAGTCTTGAGACAAGGATGGGTATTACAATTTGACTGCAAAAACTGAGGCTGCAATCCTAACCCTACTTACCTGGGAGTAAGCCTCATTTAATTCAATAGTAAACCTGATTAGGATTGTGCTGTAAATAACTGAACCCATTAATGCACACAGAACACATAAACTCCCATGGCCCAGTTCTCTCTTCCCTGAGATTCCTTGCGCATGTGATTCCATGCAGACAATCCCCTTTGGACTGGAACTACATGTGTGCACTCTTGAGATTGAGCCACTGCAGTTCCTTTGAATTTTTGTGATCCCGCACACCACATACGTCCTTTCTGTGTGGGACAATCTATTGGACGCATATATATTCCATTTGTGCTTGTGATGCAGCCTCTTATGCAGCAAGTATGTACATGTATTTGCTTACATGCATTCCTGGCTCCCATGATCTTCCCATTACTTTTCTGAAATAGAAGAGTAAATAGAGTTTTGACATATACTTATATATGTGTCTGTTACACTGTATAGTTTGCATGCAGTGGCAGAGTGTTTGACATTGTGCATATGGAATTCACAATTTCAGCAGCACAAACAGTATCCTTGGCACCGTCTGTATTACTTTGTTTCACAACAGGTATATACCATGCGATTGTGAGCAAATCCGTAGGCAGTTTGCAGAAATTCGAAGTGGTTTACAAAAGTCCACCTTTAAAAAAAAAACCCCTAATTCATGTTTGTTCAGATCTTGGGATGTCCTAAGCCTTTATTCTGTGTTTTAAATATCTCTATTCACCTAATACCTAGAAACCCACTGGTTTTTAATTAATCCAGTTCTTCTCCTGTACCAGGAACTGATCTTTTAACATTTGTGTTGGGTCTTCAAACACACACCCACACCCAATGATAAATAGTCCTGAGTGTTCAGCAGCGGTAGCATGTATTTGGTCTTAGTGATTTTGTTACAAAGGAACAAATGAAGCATCCAGTTTTTCACAGTGGCCATCAAGATGCCTATGAGAACCCCAGGGCATGAGAGGAATAGCCCTCACCAATGATTGCTTCTGAGCAACTAGCATTCAGAGGCCTCCTCCTCTGATCCTGGACTAGTAACCATTGATGATCTTATCCCCCCACAAATTCCTCCTATACTCTTTTAAGGCTGTCTAAGTTGGGTGGCCCTCACTACCTGGTGTGGTAGGAAATTTCATAGTTTAATTATGCCCTATATGAATAAGTATTTCCTTCTGTCTGTTCTGAATCATAGCATCCAGTGTAGTGGTGTGGTTTGAGCTAGTACTGGGAAGACCAGGGTTCAAGTCAATTAGAAGCCTCACTGGATGACATTAGGCTGAGAGATAGTGACTGGCCTAACCTGCTTCACTGGGTTGTTGTGAGAATAGAAGAGAGGTGAGGAACCACGTGTGGCATGCCAGCTTGAACTCCTTGGTCCATTTGCCCCTTTGAGTCTATGTCTGCTAATGTTAGGGAGATTACAGTGGTGCCTCGCAAGACGAAAAGAATCCGTTCCGCGAGTCTCTTCGTCTTGCGGGTTTTTTCGTCTTGCGAAGCAAGCCCATTAGCGATTTAGCAGATTAGCGCTACAGTATTAGCGGCTTAGCGGGCTTAGCAGATCAGCTGATAAGCGGCTTAAAGATCAGATGTTAAGCGGCTTAAAGATCAGCTGATAAGCGGCTTAACGATCAGCTGATAAGCGGCTTAGCCATCAGCTGATAAGCGGTTTAGCGGCTTGGGGAAAAGGGGGGGAAAGGAAAAAAACCCTGCAGGAACTCGCAAGACATTTTCGTCTTGCGAAGCAAGCACATAGGAAATTCGTTTTGCGAAGCACCTCCAAAACGGAAAACCCTTTCATCTAGCGGGTTTTCCGTCTTGCGAGGCATTCGTCTTGCGGGGCACCACTGTAATTTGAAAGTGGTCCACCACAGGTTTTTAACCCTGATCTGACTACCACAAATTGTAGTAGCTATTTCCCCCTTAAGCTAGCAGGCTTGTAAGGTACAAGGAACATACTGGCAGATGTAACTGTGTACACAAGTTCTGGAAGCAGATTGTAACAGAAATTAGTATTATTATTGGCAAACGGGTAACCTTGAACCCCAAGTTATATCTTTTAGTGGGTTGGTAGAGCTGAAAATAATGCCAAATATATTTCACATTGGGCAACTAATGCGTCCCTTTGGTTTCAGTACATGGGTAGACAAGTCTAAATAGCCCGAGGTACAAATTTTCACAATCCTCTAGCGCATGGGTAGGCAAACTAAGGCCCGATCCGGCCCAATTGTCTTCTCAATCCAGCCCGCAGATGGTCTGGGAATCAGCGTGTTTTTACATGAGTAGAATGTGTCCTTTTATTTAAAATGCATCTCTGGGTGTTTTTGCATGAGTAGAATATGTGCTTTTATTTAAAATACTCCTTGGAGGCTTAGTTTGGTCAGAATCAAGAACAGTCATACCTTGGAAGTCAAACAGAATCCGTTACGGAAGTCCGTTCGACTTCCAAAACGTTCGAAAACCAAATTGTGGCTTGTGATTGGCTGCAGGAAGGGCATTCTCTGGGGCAGTGCCTAAGTTGTGGAACTCCCGACAGAAGTGTGTCTGGCAACTTCACTATACTGTTTTGGGTGAATGATGAAGACACACCTCTTTACTCTGGTCTTTAGCACTTGAGATGTATATTTTTAAGACCCGCCCTACTTTTGCAATTGTGATTTGTTTTAAACTGTTTTTAATGTTGCCATTTTAATTGTAACTTGTTCTGGGACCTTAAGTTGAAGGGTGGATAATGGTGTTGTTGTTATGTAACAGATGAAAACCTAGGCTGCTTGAGGATTCTCATTTCTCAGAGACAACTCGTAACACAATAAAAGGGACAGAATGGTTGCCCAGTTACCCAGCTATTCTGACTTGGTTGCCTATATTGAATTTTTCCAAATTTTTTGCCCCAAACCCAATGTACTATATCCTCCGTCTCTCATCAAAGGTTTTGGCATTTTTATGGCCATGCAAGGAGAAGACAAGTATTTCAGAGAGAATTAGGCTTCTGTAATCTCCATCACATTCCAGGCATTTTCCCCCAGATGAAGTCCTTTTTCAGATCAATGGATTCATTTTCTTATTTTTCTAAAAAGTAATATTCATAATGTTTGAGTGACAACCAAACTAAATTCATAAACATTGCATATCTCTAAGCCCATTCTTCATTTGCAAAATTGCTGTCATTTCATCTTGTAAAGGCTATGACAGGTTATTATTATGGCAACAGCTAACAGCTTTATGGATTTATAAGCACCTATCACTTTTCAGCTAGTTTGTGTATTGAAGATTTTCATATAATTTTTTATAAAATCATAGTGATGGGAGGGTTTGGAGAAAATAACACCTTACACCCAGTGGATGGTTTATGTTCATAAAAAGAAATAGTGGATTAAATGCCCAAACACTAAAGCATTATTTTTTGTTTTGTTTTGGTGGGTGGCACCTTTTTTAAAATAAAAAGTGGGTTTAAATTAAGATGTACCTATTATTGATATGTTTATGAATAAGCACTCTCTGCTTATAGAGTGGTGTTGTAAAGTAGATATTTAAGTAACTTAGTTTGTCTTTTTCAAACCAATGAAGACTGCTGATAGCATTAAAAAAATTGAATAGAGGCACCAGATTGGGGAAAAGAGGCATAGTTAAGCTCTTTGCATCTTCCATAGAGGTTTATATCAAGAGAGATGGGTCCTCCAGCTCCTCTTGCCCCAAAAGATCATGGCACCCATTCCCAGATTAAACCATGCTAGTGGCTTAGCCATTGGTAGAAGTCAGCCAGCAACCTGCATCTCATATGGTTTGCACTTGGGTGTCTACTTGAGAAAGCAATTCCTACTATTGAAATGTTGCTTGTGCTCACAAAATCAGAGTGTTAGATCCAGCCTACGTGTGTGGGTAGAAGTCCTCCCGCAGGATTTGTGCTGGCCGAAGCGGGAAGTTGGTTTTTACAGGCTCTCCCTGCATTTCCTGTCGGAGGACCATCCAGAACTTTGTGACAGGTGGTGCTGGGGGGTTTGGGATCTCTGCAGGAACTCAGTACCTTTTTGTGCAAAGTAGGAGCCTTTCTGCTTGCAGGAGAGCAATGAAAACCCCCTTTTTTTTAAAGCTCAAAGCAAGGAGAGAGAAAAGAACCCTAGGGTATTTATAGCAACTGTTTTCTTCAAGTTATTTTTGTCAGGCTACAACTACGTTAGAATTAAGGAGTTAAAAACAGGAAATGTGATTAAAGTGGTGGGTAGTCCCTCCAAAAACTTTCCAGAGCTGGCCTACATGTTCACATTTTATTTTTCTAGCTACTATGATATCAAAGCAAAGTGATGCAGAGCATCTTGAGATCCTGCTATGATCAGTGGAGGAATGTTTCCATTAAAAGCAGGAAATGGCTCATAGAAGAAAATACTTCCTTCCTCATGCAGATGATCACCATTCACTTCCAGTAAATATTTTAAGCAAACTGTAACCTCTTCATTCTGGATTTCTGTGCATGTTGTTCAGGTTCTAAATTACAGTCAGGGTCAACCTAAACATGGCCACTCTAAATCTGCTTTTTCCTTTGCTCTTGGAAAGTTTATTCTCTAGGAAGAGGAACAAAATTATAATCAAGGGTCTGTGAGCATAAGTATGGAAGGCAGTGGCCTTACATTGCAATTATTAGTTTTATTCATGTGGCACCAGTTTACAAATAATTGGCATATTCATAAAATCCCGATTTTGATTGTTCCATTTTCCAAGAAATTCAAAGAAACCCTTTTAAGGTTTTATAGTGCGGTCTTTCAGCCAAAGACGTCAGTGAGGTTAGTATCACAGCCTCAGATTTGACAAAGTGCTTCCTCTTTGACTTCCAGAGGCTGTACCAGTTGAAATTGTTGACACTTCAGAAAATCACATGCTCTTACTCTTTACTTGATTGGAACATGCTTGGCCCCTGTTCTCACAATCATTACTATGGATTTGAATCATATGTTAAATGCTGAAGTGCACTTGAGCATTCACTATTCTTTCATCCTTTCAATGCATGTTTAGAGGCATTTCTCCAACTTCCTCCTTAATCCTTGGCTGATCCAGCATTGGTTGGCAAGAGTGCCACAAATCTGCAAGGGTGTCCCAGGCATGGGGAACTGTTTAGTGAGGGCTATTTTGTGTCCCCATTGTGCAGGGAAGACCTGCACATTGCAGTTTTCTAGCAGCTGGCTGAAGCCAGAATGATTGCACAGTCACTGACATGATCAGGGTCATCCTTCAAGCGTTCTTTGGAGTAGTCTATTCCCTTTTGCTTTTGCTCAGCATTGCAGTGAAAGATACGGTCCCCACCAGGCAAGACTGAATGCCCCTGGAAACGTGACCTTGCTGAAGCCCACGCACCCTTACCACCAGATCCCAGTGTGGTTTAGAACGAGTTGCTGCTTTGTCTTTATATATATTTCAGAGAACTCCTGCTGTTCCTCTTCAATAGTCAATGTAGAATTACTGTATGGATTCCTCCGCAAGGAAGATGCTTGCAAAGCCATGGAGCATGCAGTCCTGCTGGCTACAGGCCAGCACCAAGCAGGAGTAAATCATTTTTAAAAAATAAAACACCCTTTAAAAAAAACCAGAACATTAGCTTCTGCACCCCAAATTGATTTATGGCCAGATCTGGGTCAGGTCAGTTGTTCCCCGGGTCAGCCCAGGTCATGGCCCTGATGTCTACAATAATAAATGCTAGACTGGGAGACAGATCGTGAAGCTGAGGCTTCAATACTTTGGCCACCTCATGAGAAGAGAAGACTCTCTGGAAAAGACCCTGATTTTGGGAAAGATTGAGGACACAAGGAGAAGAGGATGACAGAGGACGAGATGGTTGGACAGTGTTCTTGAAGCTACCAACATGAGCTTGACCAAACTGCAGGAGGCAGTGGAAGGCAGTGGAAGCCTGGCATGCTCTGGTCCATAGGGTCACGAAGAGTTGGACACAACTAAATGACTAAACATTTAGACTGGGAGACTGGGAGACCCAAAAAGTCAGCACAGCCATACAGTGCCCATGGCAGAGGAGAATGCTGTTGTACTCAGGTCCTGCCTGCAGACATCCCATAGACATCTCCTTGGCCACTGTGGGAACAGGATGCTGGGTGAGGTGGGCATTGATTTGATCCTGCAGGGCTGTTCTTTCAGATGCTGGGATTTAATTTGATTTTGCTAAAAGCTGCATATGAATCGTTCATTTTTGCTTGTGGCTGGATCAGGAGGCTGGCTGGTTGAGAAAAGGGTTCTGGATAGTTGAATGTTAGCCTGAACCTACAAGACGATTCTAATGTAATGCTATGCTACCTGCCCAGCCAGTAGTGTGGTATCTTAGTGAAGAATCAGGTGTGTTTTCCCCCCTTCTCTCTCTATCTCATCCATTTTCCTACTCAGGCGAATACAGCAGTCTATTTTGTGTGTCCCTGGGGAATTTCCCAGTCAGACTTCTACCTTCTGCTAAACGAGTCAGAAGGCATGTGGGTGGGGACAGTTCTGTCAAATACCATGACATCAGATCTGCTACCTATGTCTGTCTTTGCATTTAGAAGGTTATGGTTTTTATAACTTGCACCTTCATCAGAAATACCTTGTTCATCACCGACTGACAAAAAAACCCACTTGATTTACAAGGCTTCCTTTTCTTTTAAGGCAGTTAGGAAGACTTGATAAAAACCCATGTCACAAAGCACAATAGTCACAAGTTTTTACACTGGCCTGCACATTAATTATGAGTGGTATTCAACTATGTTTTACTCAGAACAAATCTGTTGAATTTGATCTAACTTAGTCATGTTCGTTCATCTCCATGGGGTCTACTCTGAGGAAATAGCACCTTTTCTGCACCTCAAGGTGTGTTGCCTCCACCTCCGTTTATTTTCTTATTTTCTTTCGTTGGGGGCGGGGAATGGAAAGACTCATTTTCACAGCATAATGTGATCACCGGTCATCTTTGCTGAACTGGGGAAATGGCAAGGAAAGAAGCACTCCAACTGAAAGCCATACCTAGGGGCAACTTTGTGCAGCATTCCTCACACATCTTATCAAATTTGGCAGGCCTCCACTTGTAAGAAGCAAGCCATCACATGAAATTGACAAGATGGCTTTAGAGCTCTTAGTGCCATGAAGAGTAGTGTGACAATAATATGCACCACAGGAAGTATCTCAAGAGGTACTGTGATGCCACACAAAAAAATCTCTTACTTTCCTCCTCCATTTCAGCTCTGGAAGGGACTTCTGCTTGGACCACAGCATCCCCAGCTCATGGGGTCTTTGTGCTGCCAGCAGTGTGGTATTCCAGTTTTATGGGTGGTGCTAAAAAAAACACACACTCTGCCACATGTATGATGTGCATTTCATGAGCTGTATAGATGAGACAGATTTGGACCACACAAATTTGACATAGACTTTCCTCAGAGAAATGTTGGAGGGTATGGTAACGCTCATGTCATGGGCTGGGTACAGAAGGCCACAAAGGCTTCAGGAGTTTATACCCAAGAGAATTGGAGAAGGTTTTTATTTTTCCCTTCAGAAGCTGTACATGCCAGCACACAGCTCCTAACCATACTAGGATCGTGAATGCAGAAAGGGCTCTTCTGCTCCTGAAGCACCCATAACTCAGTGCGTTTGAATAAAACATAGGTCTTTTGCAAATTGTCAAGCAGTGCTATTTCACTTTTCAAAGTGGTTTGAGGGGTTTTGGTCTTGGATGTGTGGGTAAACTACAGATCTCTTGTTAAAGGGAAGTGCAGGTTGCACTTCCTAATTCAGCCAGTGTTGTTCATCATATCTTCAGACTGGGCAAACCTCAAAGAGCTTAACATACAGGGAAATTGAGTTGAAAAAGAATTCTTGCTTTTCCTGCTCTCTTGGCAGCATTTAACTCCGTTCTTTGAGCTCTTTGTTCTGGAGGCTATGGAGGGGGTTGTAGCGTTTGAAGTTCATGCCCTCTTTGAATTCATCCCAGGTTTCTGTTAGATGTGTTTTGGCATTTGAAGGTGGTAATTTGCTGGAATTATTAGAGGAAAAGTTCTTACACTCCCAGACTGCCTCCAATAGTCCCTTGCTTAGGATGGGGGCTGCAAGAGAAACTTTAATTAACCTTCTAACATAAATCCGTCTCACCCAATAACCCATTTCTGATACCTCAGAGCACAGCGAAGAACACAAAACTTGAGAGAGCATTCCTTCTCTGTGCCCTAACCAGGCACTCACTTCAAATAATAAAACATCCAGCCTTTTATGCAATGTGATTTTGTTCCTACAACTATTCTGTGGAGTCTACTTCAGATTTTTACTCATTTCTTAGTTCTATATCAGTACAAAATGGTCTTCCAGAGTTAGCTTAAATCATAGTACTGTACCATTGTGCCTATGGGAATACGTTGGGGTTGCTTTACCATGGTTAAACAATAGGTTTTGTTGCAGTTAAAGATAATATAATGAGCACCTGTAACTATGTGTTTGTGCAGTCAGGAGCCTCCAGCATATAAAATGCTTTTTAAAATAAGGAGGCAGAAAGGATGCTGTCTGAGCCTGTCATCAGACCCATTGGGGGCAGCCTGCTTGTGCCAAGCTGGGTGTTGAAGACAGGCCTGTTGTTTTCTACTGCTCTGAAGTGCAGAGTGTTTGAGGACCGGGACATTCGCAGGGAAACCAAAATGCTTGTTTACAAAGCTATTGTACTACCAACTTTATTGTATGCTTGTGAAACATGGACCACTTACAAACGCCATCTCCAGCTTCTTGAAAGATTCCATCAATGGTGTCTCCAAAAAAATCTTACACATCACTTGGGAAGATAGGCCAACTAATATCAGTGTACTGGATGAAGCAAAGATCACCAGTTTTGAAGTAATGATTCTTCAACATCAACTTCGTTGGACTGGTCATGTTGTGCGAGTGCCTGATTATCGTCTTCCAAAGCAACTACTCTATTCCGAACTTAAAAATGGAAAGCGTAATGCTGGTGGTCAGCAAAAGAAGTTTAAAGACTTTCTCAAAGCAAATCTAAAAAAACGTAGTATAAACACGAACAACTGGGAAACACTGGCCTGTGAGCGCTCCTGTTGGAGAACAGCCTTTACCAAAGGTGCCATGGACTTTGAAGACACTCGAACTCAGAACGCAAGGGAGAAATGTGCTAAGAGGAAGGCACATACTGTGATCAACTCCCGCCCGGAAACCAATGTCCCCACTGTGGAAGGACGTGTGGGTCCAGAATTGACCTCCACAGTCACTTACGGACTCATTGTTAAAACCGTGTTTATGGAAGACAATCTTACTCAGCTTCGAGTGATCGCCAAAGAAGAAGACAGTAGGGGTCCCTCAGGGTGTGGCTCCGACCATTTTGGCTCTTAAAAATATAATTCATCTTTTTTTATTTTGATTTAGTGTACTCGGACAACCAGATGAAAGACTGGTTATGAAATGTTTATCAGACAAGGTCCTATATATTACTAAATGCATGTCTAGATCAGCTAGTTGACTGTGTTACCTAAATGGAACAAATAGTATAATATTCTTGCTTCTCTTCCTTGTCAATTGTGCTCTGTATTTGAACAGGTCATATGACTGTAATTAAAGACTAACTGATTCACAGTTCATCTTAGTTTCTGCTTTCCCCAGAATAATATCTTTCCGTTCTATTTATAAGCCATCGCTGACGTTATTGTAGCACGTTTTATTTTTCTCATTCTAAACTTGGCTTATCTCCCTCCATTGTAAAGAACCATTTGAATGCTAAACAAACCCATGCGCGCTCTATGCATTTCACCAAACTCAGTTTAAAATATTCACAACAGAGCGACAGAAATATATGCACGGTATAAGCAAATGTGAATAAATATACAGTGGTGCCCCGCAAGACGAATGCCTCGCAAGACGGAAAAACCGCTAGACGAAAGGGTTTTCCGTTTTGAAGTTGCTTCGCAGGACGAATTCCCCTATGGGCTTGCTTCACAAGACGAAAATACCTTGCGAGTCTTGAGATTTTTTTTTCGCTTTCCCCCCCCTTTATCTAATCTGCTAAGCCTTTAATAGCCTTTAATAGCCTTTTAGCAGCTAATCCCCTAAGCCTTTAAGCCTTTAATAGCCGCTAAACCGCTAATAGCGCTAATAGCGCTAATCCGTCAATGGGCTTGCTTCGCAAGACGAAAAAACCGCTAGACGAAGACTCTCGCGGAACGGATTAATTTCGTCTTGCGAGGCACCACTATATTTACTATGTTAACACACACTCTTCCTGTTGAAACTTCCTGTCTGTTTCAATATTTTATTTACTTATAAAATGGATTGCCTGTCTTTAGAAAGCTCAAAGTGGTTTATAAGCTTTTTCTTTATATTTATTGGTAACAAGTAAAATATTGGTTCTGTTGAAATAAATGCTGAAAATTTCATGGCCTTTCTTTTTAGCTTGATTTCACTGTGCTTAGTGCCACAAGCTTTTTGGGCTGTTTGATCGCAGTTGACTGCTCAACCTTTGTCATGAGTTACATTTGAAGCCACCAACATAGAAATGAGATGGTTGCTATTGCCAGTGATTTATGCAATTCTGTTTTCCAAGCTCATATTTCTCTTTAATAATAGCAAGATCTATTTAATAAGACAATCGCAGATGAAAGCTGCCTTTTATTGAATAGTATTTGAAAGAATGACCAAAAAAGCAACAATAACCACCCCTTGATGCTATTTTGAAGAGGAGGGAACAAGGGATGCCAGACGAGACTAGGAACTTCTGGCTTCTTTAACCTTTTGTGTAAGGAAATGTGCCTTTCTCCATTTCACTTTCAAAAAGGAAATAGATTTTAGTGGTGTGGTTGGGAGAAGTTTTCATTTTCTGTATGCTGGTATCGTAGTCAACGTTGTACCTGTTACAGGATAAAAAGGCCTGCATGGCATGTCAAGTGATATTTCAGCATAACAGAATGAAAATCACCAACTATTTTGTTGTATATTTTTTTTAATTACAGGTGTCAGGAACTATCTGAAGGAAGCCTTAGTTCACATCATTGCTGCGCATGCCGAGGTAAGGCTCTTTCAGACTATCCATGATGAGTTTCAATGTGTTTAAACCAAAACATATCAGTGGAACTGGAAGTTCAAGAAAAGCAGGCCTTTTTCAGTGCCAGAAAATCATTCCAAATAAATATTAGCCTGGACTTTGCTCTGTTGGTATTCAGTTTGTGACTTGTGAGCAGGCCCTGGCCTTTGGTGGACTTTGACAATAGCACTTCAACCATATTTTAGAGAGAGGCAGAAGAAGAAGACCTGATCTGGATAGAATAGGAGCGCTCCTTTTTGAGACTGGCATGACACTGGTCATTGCAAGTGCTCACTTACTTTCCTTTTTTAAATACCTATTTTGGATCACTTATGGTCGGCAGGTATTAGGCTGCTTCTACATGACCTGTTCATTGAGCATTTATCCCAACTTGTTTGCAGGGAGACCAGATGCCGATGACAATTTAACAAGCGTTCCTTCTTATTTGTGCGGAGGTTGGATGGTGCCGTGTCAAAGCAAGGGTTAATCCCACACTTTCCAGGGCATTTCTCCATCACTTTCCTTACAGCAAAAAAAAAGTCTTTTGGGGAAGTTGATTTGTTGCAAAAGACCTCCCAAGCAGCTATAATCATGCAGCACAAATTTGCCGCTAGGCGATTGAGTCCCATCCAAACACCTCTAGACAGGAGAAAAGATCTTAATGCTGACAAGGCTTTCGGAGTGAAAAAGCAATTCCAGCTTTTGAGCTTTCTGTTGTATTATTTTAATTTGAAATCTGCAGGTATTTGCCATCTCGAAAGAGCTCGTACCCAGAGTGCTGTCGAGGATTGTCGAAGCAGTCGCCGAAGAACTCAGCAGGCTAATGCAATGTGTTTCATCCTTCAGCAGAAATGGTGCTTTGCAGGTAACTGAATTCTACGAGTGGCGGGCAAATGTAGCTTTTTTAACATAGTTAAGTCCTGTTCAGATGTTTGTATATTGTATCCATGGAGGGGGCACTCCCTCTACCCCCAACCAACCTGCTTTGAGCAAGAAGTTCAGAAGGAGGTTGTAAGTTGGGGTTGCCATATGTCCAGATTTTCCTGGACATGGCTGGGATTCCAGTGACGGAATTAGCGTCTGGGGGAATTTCGGGAAATTGGCAAAATGTCAGGATTTTTGTGTTCGGATTTTTACTTCTTGAAATACGGCAACCCTATTGTAAGTGCGTTTAGCTGAACATGGTTACAGTCCTTTTCACAATCTGAAACCCTGCTTGATTTGCAACCACAGACCACTGGCTAACTGTGTGCAGCTGAACAAACACCACTCCTTTAAGACCTTTTCTTGCTACGTGGAAAGGTCAAAAGTTTGAGGAGGTGTGGGCAGCCTCCAACCCCTGCACAGATACAGCGATCTCACCTAGACATCTTCACTTCCCCTCCAGTTGGGAATTCCAAAAAATATTTCGGGGTAGCCATGACAGTTAAACTGCTATGAAATGAATGCACATTTGCAGTACATGTAAATAGAAATGTCTTAGAAGCCTGAAACGAGCAAGTCAATGCAAAAATGATCCGGTGTAGTCTCCAGGATGGAAGGGTGCTGTAGATTCATTTCTGAAGAAGTATTGGTGTGTCTGACACCCACACACAGTTACTGCATTGTGACGTGCAAATTATTGTTTTTCTAAGTGTATCAAACCATGTCAGACTGCCTGGGGAGATTGAACTCTTTCTATGATCAAATTTTGCTCTCTAACAATTTGGATTCATTTGTGAAATTCAAAGAATATTTAGCTAAATATTGTGATATAAATAGAAAATTCTTGGAAGTAACAAATAGGCCTAGGGGTAGAATAAGAATATGTGATAGTAAATATTAAGGATTAGAATATCAATAAAGGAGAAGAGGTTAGTAAATGAAAGGAGTTAACGGTAATTTTATTAGAAATATGAACTTGAAGAAATATGAACTCCTGTTATACAGGAGATATAATGAAATTCAGTTAGAGGGGACTCGAGGAAGTCAGTTATCAATGTGATGAGAGTTGGATATTTGAAGAGATATTCTTTTTTGTGTGTATTTAGTTTGTTGTAGTGTGGTGTGTTTTTCTTTGTTCTGTGCTTTGTTATGTTATTTTTTGATAAATGTTGAAAATCAATTTTAAAAATTGGAGAGAAAAAAACAATTTGGATTCATTTAGCCAGAGCTCAGTTTTCTCAGTTTTCTTGATTCGCTCACATCCCAAGGAAGTTAGGAATTTACATATTTTTAATAGCGTACCGCAAGTTGCGGAGGAAATAGAGAAGCCAACCTCCTCCTTACTTCATGAGCTCCAATAGAACTAGAATATCTAGCTGGAAGAATATAGCAGTGAGGTATTTGCTGATACTTTTAGTTTAACAGTAAGCACTTAAGCGCACCACAGTTTGTCACCTTTTGTAATTACATTACACATGGTTTGGATATGAAAGAGGCATATGCAAGATCCCACCCACTTTTGACTCTGGCCCCGCCCACCACTGGCATGTACCTACTATAGGTATATAAGGCCATTTATCCCTTCATCCTTCCCCAACCTAGTGCTCTTCTGATATGCTGGACTACAACATTCATTAGTCCCAGCCAGTGATGGTCAGGGATGATGGGAGTTGTAGTCCAAAAACATATAGAGGGTGAAGAAGGCTGACATAAATGAACTTCTTAAAACCACTGAATGTAAAGCACGTGAAGGGGTGGAGGGGAGCCTTTTGTTGTTGCTACTGTTCAGCAGCCAGAAAGTAGGGGGGGAGGGAGAGAACAAGATGCATATTGACAGACTTCACCCTTTTGCACTTCCTTCCTCTTTGGTGGCACTGTATATTAAGAGACCAGAACCTCCCTGGTAAGAATAAATGCTAGCACTTTCCAGGACTTTTACTTTACATTTACAAGGGGGGGGGGACTTTAAGAAACTATATTTGCGAACTTTTCCTGATAGTCAGATTTGGTTTAACTTCGTTTCCAGAACTTCCCAGATCTCCTGTTGGCTTACAGCTGTTTTGGGACTGATGTTTCCAGCACAGGAAACAAATTTCGGTGAAGTTCTCTTAACATTTTGCCTCCTTCTGCTGCACCAGCAACAACATTGTTTTGCTTATGCAGCCAAACCTTGTGAAATCAGATTCTGAAGCTATAAATACACTGGCTTTACGTTTGAACATTTATGTCCTTTAGGCCCGGCTTGAAATCTGTGCACTGAGAGATGCAGTCGCTGTGTTCCTCACATCTGAAAGCAAGTAAGTGCAAAAGTTGGAGGTTCAGCAAATGTGCACAAAGGTAACATGAGCCTATGCTGTTGTATTATCACCTCCTGAGTAGCATAGAAGAGGAAGAAGAGTTTGGATTTGATATCCTGCTTTATCACTACCGGCAGAAAGGTAAACAGCGTTTCTGTGTGCTGCTCTGGTGTGCTTCACCAGAAGCGGCTTAGTCATGCTGGCCACATGACCTGGAAGCTGTACACCAGCTCCCACGGCCAATAAAGCGAGATGAGCGCGGCAACCCAGAGTCAGTCACAACTGGACCTAATGGTCAGGGGTCCCTTTACCCTTTACCTTAAGGAGTCTCAAAGCAGCTAACATTCTCCTTTCCCTTCCTCTCTCCCAACAAACATTCTGTGAGATGAGTAAGGCTGAGAGACTTCAAAAAAGTGGGACTAGCTCAAGGTCACCCAGCAGCTGCACGTGGAGGAGCAGAGACGCGAACCCGGTTCACCAGATTACGAGTCTACTGCTCTTAACCACTATACCACACTACACACTAACAACAAGGGTTGAGCCTCTTCCTGGGTAGCAGACAGGCTTCTTGAAGCAATGACATCACCCTTGGGGAGAGGTTCCCCATGGCCACATGAGCCACTCTCACTAGGCAATATTTTTGAGAACTCCCAACCAAGGGATCCCCAATCAGTCATCCGCTTCATTTAGAGATTACACAGATGCTCTCGGTCCAGAGGAGTTAGGCTCTAGCTGGGCTCTATCATTCCTTTTCTTTTTCGTTGATTGCTACCACACATTAGCGAAGCAATGGGAACTGCAATTTTGAACCAATTGTGAGGTCTTGTTGGTTAGGTAGAGTTCCTGGAATTGAAGTTTCTTGTCCAGGCAGCTGCTCCTCTTCTGCAGCGGAACCACAAATTACACTGTGCTAAGGGCTATAGTTTCAAGCAACGCACATAGACTGTTCGTAGCTGAGTTTTGTATAATTTTGAAAGTGTGTTGCCTTTTACCCTGCTCTACAAATGTCTAGCAGAGATTAAAAATTACTTGGCATTAGCTGAAACAGTTGGCAGTATGGTTCCTATTAGGCTCCCTTTCCCACACATCCATCAAGAACAGGAACGAGAGAGCCTGTGCGTTCATTTGTTTTGACCAGTTGGGTGCAACTGTTATGAACTCTTCTCTCCCATGAAAGCAGGAGCCTTAACATAGCGCCTTCCTGGTTCTTTCTGTGAAGGACCCCTGCATGTTATTAAAATAATAATAATAATCTGTCATTTATTAAAAGGATTAGATGTGTAGGAATTCATAGAGAGCAGCTAGTTTTCAAAGCAAATAGAGAAAAGGCTTCATAATCAAAATAACAAATGAAACAGGGAGCGGGAAACGGCTAAAGTTTTAAGCGAAATGCAGTCTCATGCATGCACACATCTGCATTTGTACATGTGCACTGAATGCTATCTACATGCTGGAAAGTGTTGTAAATTGAGGCATTTTATTGTGATGTTAATTTTAGAGTGTAAATGCTTGTATTGTGGAAATGCATAACTATACAACCTGCATAATCGAAAAAACCAGTCTATGCTTAAAGCATGGATATAGATTGGGAATAAAAAGGTCATTGTAGATCTGAGATACAATCAGTGTGTGTTTTAATGTTACAGCTCAAGCTTTAAGCAAGCTTTGGAAGCCTTGCCACAGCTGTCAAGTGGTGGAGATAAAAAGTAAGTTCATAAGTTAGAAAATGTGTTCTATGAACAGTAGGATGGTTAAAATGTTCCATGATGATAAATGATATTTCATAAGGTTGGTCCAAGAAGTAACCACCTTGCTGGTGGTTAAAGTGGTAATGTCTATTTTATGACCCTTTTCTGCACACACGTTCAATATCATCGTGATGCCGTTCGTCTTTGAATGCACTCTGTGGGGCAACTTAGTCGAAGGCAGAGTGGGAAAACTGGAGGCCTGGAGAGCTACATTTGGGCCTCAGGCTTAACATCCACCACTCCTGACCTGCTAATTTAGTTCAGCACCACACAAGCAGTATCAGGAATATGATCTTGTCCTTCCCACATCCGAACGCGACACCCTGTCCACTTAACCAAACTGCCACCAAAAAGCCCGTATCTTTTTTAATTTTCCCGTTGCTCCTAAGTGATGCCAAGAGGGAAGTTTCCTTTTAGATGCTGGGAGGTCAACACACATTTCCAGATGTAACTTTGGGATTTGGTTTGCCTCCAGCAGCTTCAGTGCTGAACTTCGAGCAGCAATTGGCATACAAAATGGCTTGAGTTTCTTCCAGAACGCAGCTGGCAAACTTAAGGGTTATATTCCCTCTTCCTTATTATTTGCCCTCATACACTGCTGTTGCATCTGCAAGCTCGCTGCACACTTCTTGTAATGAATTCACATTTATGGAATGATTTAGACCTGTTCGTGTTGCCAGTGACATATTATATTTAATATTGACTTATTAAGTATTTGCCTGTGTGTGGCTGCCCTGCTAGTACCTTTTCCTGCAGGGTGTTATTGAGGAAGTAGATACTGACATGTTTATGTCTTTTCCTTGCTGGCCCTGGCACAGATTATACAGCTGTGGAATTTACTGCCGCTATTAAATGCTGCGTTTTTTTCAAAAGGAAATTGGTGGTGGCTGCCTAACAACTAGCTCAACCTTTTTTTAAATACAAAATTATGTGGTTTCTTCCCTTTTCTTTCCTAGAGTTTTGAGGGTTTTACTGATCCTTTAAAAAATGCATACACACACACACACACAAATTATGCTTACCACCTAAAGGCTTGGCTTTATCATAGGTATCTGGCAATCTGAGAATGTTTATTGAATCTTTGATTTAACTAATGAGTAAACATTGCAATCAAAGAGAAAGGAGCCCAAACAACAGGGTTTCAGTTTCTGGTTGTGCCACACAGTGAGGATATGTAGGCTAATCCCATTGTCTTTCTTAATTTCCTCAAGCTGTTGCAACTTCAAACACACACACATGCTAAAAAGATCTGTGAGCCTGCAAAACAAGACATATATTCTATGGCAGGAATGGGGAATATGTGGCATTCCAAATGGACCACAGTTCCCATCATCCCTGACCTATCAGCTTAGGGCTGATAGGAGTTGGAGTCCATCAATATCTGGAGGACATAGGGTCTGCACCACTCATTGTGATTCACTTCAGTGTAAGAATCAAGGACACTATTTAAGAACCCGGAAGAAGCGGCCATTTTGCCCAAGTTTCAAATCATGGGTTATACTATGGTTATACAGTACTATGGGGCGGGAGGTTCCATTTTATTGTGAACACATCAGAAAACAGGTCATTGAACCTTGCTATGAGTCTTCTCTCACCCAGAAAACTGTGTGTGTGTCCCATGAAACTAAACTAGCACTCCTAGTAAGCATACATGGCAGAGTAGACATAATCTTATATGTGTGTATGCAATGTATGCGTTCTTTACTATTAAATTTATACCTCATACTCCAAAGGAGTCCATGGGCAGCAATTTGTGGCACAATGTATTTCTGTTTCTGCCTTAATTCCCCCTGTGTATGAAGTTTGTTGGTTCTGTTCATGACCAAAATACTGTGCAAGCCAGTTAAAACCTTAAAAGCATTTTCCTTTTGAACAGGTTGCTAGAAGAGCTACTGAATATATTCAAGAGTAGCATGCAACTGCAGCTCACCTGCTTTCAAGCTTCTTCTTCCACAATGGTGAAGACATAAGGCAACTCTGAAATGTAATCGCGTTAGGAAAAGGAAACAGTATCAGTCCCGATAACTGCTTTTTCTTCTCTATGTGCTTCTGTGTTTTAGTTGCCGACAAGTAACTATGTTGGTCCATTTGTGTCTCTTGAATCCGAACTCCAGAGGTTAAAAAGATTTGCCAGCCTTTCATTGCCAGAAAGAATGCCTAACAGAAGCTTTTGTAGTTGGGGGTTTGTCTTGAAAATATGCCAATTACAATTTTCTATATGGTAATTTACCACAGCACATGTGTTTGGCCAGCCAATTATCCTATCAAACAGTGAGAATTTTCCAGCTTCCCCGTGTTTCTAATTAACTACAGAAATGTGGTAAAATTCTCCACTTTATTGACTTACCAGGTGACGACATGCAGATTGTGGTTGTCATCTATATTCACCAACAGTCCTCTCGGATTTACTTACCCCATTTGCCAGCTTTGTAATGATCTGTTTCAACCAGAGAACATGCTGCGACTTTTATGTCAGCAAATGATCAAACGGCTTTATTACCCAGGAGTTGGAGGACCAAGAATGTACTGAAATGTTACTATCTAATAAATATAAGCATGTACTCGTGATTGAATGTGTGTTAAAGTTAGATGGCGGGAGTAAAACACACGCACACTCGCATAGACACTTATTTTTCTGAAGTTAAAAATATGGACGAAACTCCAGAGGCTCAGTATGGAGGTTACACATCTTCCACAAACTACAGCGTTGCTTTCAGGCCTGGATGATACCGAACCATTTGCCAGAACCCACCGGGTTGGGGCAGCTGCTAGCCTCTCCCTCACACTTAATTCATGAGCAGTGGTGGCTCTATAATGGGTTAGGGCGCTGGGCCTTTGCTTGGTTTCCCCATTCAGTTACTAAACCCATTCTGGAGAGTTAGGCACCATTTTGCATGAGTCAGGCTTACCAGGCAGAGGAGACTGTGGAGCTGTAACTGAATAGGAGAGCCAAGCAGTAAGGGTGTACCTAGTTTTTCACACATGGCTTCTCCATTTTTGGCTCTCACTTTTTTGTTAAATAAGCCACAACACAGTGTAATATGTCGTGTTGTTGTTCATCTGAGATTGTATTTACCTAATTTCAAGACCTTCTAAGCCAGGCATAGGCAAACTTGGCCCTCCAGATGTTTTGGGACTACAACTCCCATCATCCCTAGCTAACAGGACCAGTGGTCAGGGATGATGGGAATTGTAGTCTCAAAACAGCTGGAGGGCCGAGTTTGCCTATGCCTGATTCTAAGCAGTAGGTGATTATTACCGTATTGGCCCGAATATAAGCCGCACCCGCAAATAAGCTGGTGGCTCGGAGGTTTGTGAGCCGCGGTCAGGACGGGCGCCATTGTCCCGTATCCCCAACGGCCCTCGTGTTGTAAGGTCACACATATAAGCTGCACTTTAACTTTTCACAGTAGGAATGGATAGGGGAGTACAGCTTATTTTCAGGCCAATACGGTATGTAAAATCATGAGATTCAAAGAATTTCATGAAATTGTGGCAATCACACAGGGTCCCCGGACGTTTCACCGTCTATTGATCCCTGTGCCACCACTTTATTTCTCGCTGCCACCACCCAAGGCCCTGGTACAATACTGAGCCCAGTCAGGGTTAAATTGGAACATAAACTTCCGTTTATTTATTGCAGTTTAACAAGCGTGTGGTTTCATAAACGGTATCTGTCAGTTACAATCACGGGGTGCCTATCCAGACCTATAACTTCTGCTACCTGCTCTCACTCACTCAACCACCTCTCAGATATTTACTTGTGTTCCTAGCCCCTAACTGTTCCTGACTCAGCTTATTTCGCTACACGAACTCAGCCTACCCACAGACTCTATCCCAATTCACTCCCACTCCAACCAACCTCCCAACAAACTCCTCCCTTCGCCCCGCCCAGAGCTGGTTTTATAGTCCCTCTGACTCCACCCCCTGAGTTCTGATTGGGTAACCTGTTTAACTATTTCACCTCCAGCACTCTCCTATGTTACCATCACAGATGTACTTTCTTTTCCCCATGACTGTACCTTGCATTTCTGCCCACCATCCAGAATGAGAAATGGAGAAGGCAGCTGCTTCCTCTCATTACCTACACCACCCCTGGCATAGAGTTCTGCAGGTGTGTCAGGGGAACAAAGGGCTTTGGATCTGGTGGATCATGCCCCTAACACATCCAGTCCTCCCCTCCCCTGCCTCAGAACATCTACGCCAACAGTCCTCTCCAGAAAGGTAAGTGTCATCCCACAAGCAGAGCTCCCACTCTGGCATAAGAGCAGCAGCACTTGCACTACTTCCTGAAGTGCTTCCGCTGGCTGCCTGGGTTGGGGAGGATCATATCTTGAAGCCAAGAAAATCCCCAACACCTCTTCCCCACAATGATAGTCTGATGGCAACAGTTATATTGTAGGATAAGGGTGCCCTACATGCAGATTCACAACAACAAAAGCCTGTCGGTTACTGGCAGCCTTGTTGATGGGAAATAACATAACAGTGCACCCGAAAGACTGAAAAGAGCTCTAATTTTACTCATCTTTTTGAATGCTATGATTCACAGTCCTGGAAAAGGTCCTTGAGATCATTAAGTCCATCTTCTGCCCTAAAACAGGATCCTGCACACACAACTCCTGTATTACGCATGATTGCTCTCATCCTGCCGTCTCACAACATGGATTTTCTCCTAGTTTTATTAACATTAGAGATGATTAAACGCATGTTAGGTCAGATTCATACTGCAAGTGAAGTCCTAAATGTTAAGTACTAAAAAGTGACAAAATCATTCAATCCTTTTCTGTGGATTTGTTTGATTGTGTCCTGCGAACAAAACTATAAATAGTTCACACATTCCTTTTATGTGCTTTTAACAGTAAGGCCAGAAATAGAGCTGCCTCTATTAGTCTTTTCTTATCCCAGTCCTAAAATGTAGCTATCTAATTCCTCCTCTATTCCCAAATTTCAAAAGCAAGTTATGAGAGAGAGAGTGTGTTAGTTTCTGGAGTACTTTAGAGTCTGCCATTTTTTAAAAAAGGGCTAATAATGGATTTGTTGCTGACAAACTTGTATGTCAGGGCAGAGCTTGAAAAGTTCATTTTTAAAAGGAACTTGTTCAAGTTCAGTGCATCCAAAGAAGAACTAGTTCCAGTTCATTTTTGTCCATTTACAAAACAAACAAGTTTGTTCAGTTCAAGTTCAACCTTTTGGCAAAAGATTTTCAGCGTCCCAAATACAACAAACTGCCTTGTAGGAGTATAAAATATACTTAAGACAAAGAAAACACCAAAACACACAGGGAAAGGTGAGTTTATTTTTCCTCACAATTGTTATATTTTAGCTTCAAGGCCCAAATACAAGTCAAAAGCATAACAAACACTCATAAGAGAATGAAGTTGAAGATGAATTAGAAATCGTTCTGCCCCCAAGTGATTTTAATTCAAGTTCTGTTCACCTGGCAATTGTGGAACCTACTTTCAGGGGTAGTTTTGAAGTTTTTCAATGGATCCTGTGAACCTTGTTAAACTGAACTCAGTCATTCCATGCGCTGGTCAGGGTTGGGGAACCTGTAGCCCTCCAAATGTTGGCCTAACAGCTCCTATAATTCTTGACCATTGACCATGCTGGTTGAGGCTGATAGGAGCTGGAGTTCAACAACATCTGGTTCCCCATCCCTGGTATATGTCAAGATGTGCACCAACACAAATCATAAAATACTACAAATGTTTTAATTGGTTCAAAACAATGTAATTAATTCACAAAATATATGCTGTACACTTATCAGCAAGAATGTAGTCAGTTCTTTAATTACCATATTTTTTCGCTCCATAAGGCACACCTGACCATAAGGCGCACCTAGTTTTTAGAGGGGGAATTCAAGAAAACAAATATTCTTTAAAGGGACCGCTGAGCAGAGCCTGTATGCGTCCCAGGCTCTGCTCAGCGCTCCCTTTCACGAGCCGCGTGGAGTGTGTGTGTGGCTCTTGGGGGCTTTTCTTGCCTGCCTCCCCCCTGCATTCGCTCCATAAGACGCACACACATTTCCCCTTACTTTTTAGGAGGGAAAAAGTGTGTCTTATGGAGCGAAAAATACAGTATACTTTGTTCAACAACAAGGGAGTCCTATAACAGATCCAGTTTCATAATAAACATCAATTTTTTGTGAGCATACAAACATCTGTTCTCTGTACTTACCCTGCTTTAGCTATCATGGTACACCTTTGGTCTGGTGGCCTTTGGACTGATCCATCATAGTAGTTCTTAGGCAGGCCGAGAAATTTGATTCATGGGAGATGTGGCTATCATTGCCTACTGGTTCTGATGACTATATTCTACTTCTAGTTACTGCGTAATAAAATGGGAGAGGATTTGTGGTCTTTATAATTTTTGCTTGTTAGGCATCTGGTTGGCCACTATAGAAAACACAATGCTGGTTTGAATAGCCCTCTAATTTTAATCTTCCATTCTATTTTCATCTTCTATTTCTACTGCATTGAATTCTGGGAATTATCATTTTCTGGGACCTCAGCACTTAGTCTAAACTGGAATATTTGTGATAACGTGGCCTAGTCTGTGATCATAAACTAAGTTTAGAACCCTTTTGGAGTTTACGTGAAGTATATTTTTAAAAAGGTTAAGGAGGTCACTTGCCTTTTACCTGAACTCCTACAAAAACGAGCAAGAGTTGCAGAATGACTCCTTAGGGTTCTTCCCCTTTGTGGGGAAGGTGTGTTGTTCAGCAGCCAATTGTGAACAAAAAAATCCTAGTTTAGGCCAATAATAATGGGGAGTGATCACAAAGAGGCTGGACTGTAGGCAGCTAGAGACATGAACTCTGTACTTCTCTGGCTCTCAGATAGCTGGTTTATAGGAATATTAATCATATTTTGCTGTGTGTTTTCAGTGTGGGCTTTTACATTAAAGCAAACCACGTGACACATTGCATAAGGGGATATTTAGAAAAATGTCATTCTTGATCTGGCAACCTATGCAAGAGCATATGTGGTTAAAAAAATAATAATAACACAGCGGGAGGTGTCTTCTTCAGGCACTTCTGGAATAATATTGATGGTGAGACTTTGCATCAGTTTCTGTGTGTTGCATTATCAATATGTAATGCAAGAAAGGTTATGGAGTCCAAAACCTAATAAAATGCTCCTCAACCGCGTGAAAGATCCTTGCGGTGTGACTTGTAAACTCTTGTAACCTTTAGCCATTAGATGATTAAGTGGATTGTCCCTAGTAGCCCTCAAGAGTTTGCAGATAAGAAGCATTCTCAGAGCATTTCTATGAAACCTAGATCAGAATTAGAAGGAGTCATTCCAGGAAACTGGTATTTTATTTTATTTAAGTCATAAACACTTCCAGTACATTTGGCAGACATATTTAAAGAAGGAAATTCACATCCCATTTGACACTGAGAGTGAATGTTATTTCCCTGTTAATTGGATGGTGTGCCTGATTATTGACATGTCCATCAGCCGAGCTCTTCACACGTGAAGGAAACCCAAAAGCTACATGCCACTTTTCCAGCACTTGATGGCCAAGAGATCTAGGCTGCATTTCACATAAAGCAGGTATACTCT